AAGTTATACTCCCCCAAACCGCACCACCCTCAGCTCCTTACTGCAACAGCTTTGTATTTCCACTGTATCAATCGTCTGATTCCTATGAGATGCTTTTAGCAGGCTTGAGATGCCAGGGCCTAGAATCTTTGAAGCTGCATGAGGACTAGAGACTGAGTGGGGTAGAAAAGCGTTGCATGATACTAGGGACGTGGTAGGATTAGCGTCGGTAGATTAATCGAACTGAAGACGTGGCCATTCTGATAGTGGATCCGATGGCGGTTGTGTCTGAACAAGGACAAGATATCGTACTGAATCGTACTGAACAGGTTGCCGTTGAGTATATAATTGTCCCAATAACCACTTCCTTTCATCCAATCAGGCTTCGTGGCGCAATGGTAGCGCGTCAGATTCCAGTACCACCTGGAGCTTCCTGAAGGTTAGGCGTTCAAATCGCCTCGAGGTCACACCTGATTCAATTCTTTTTGCCCAAAGGGAGCAGCAATCTTTTTGCTGCTGTGTGGATCCGATGCGTTGATGCATCATTGTGCTTGGTCGATTGCGGTAAAGAGGGGTGGCTCCACCGAAAAGAACCGAGGATCTGGGCCGACATTTTTGCTGAACCATGTTCATTTCTGAGATTGTTGTGTATTTGCTGAGATTGCGGGAACTATCCGAAAGATCCGAAGACGACTGCTTTGCCAGATGAATTGTCCTCCTGCAGCATAGACTTCTCGAGCATCAAAAGGAGATGCGACGTTCTTATGAGCAGTTCTACCCTGTATCAGCAGTCGGCCCAAGAGAAAGGACGGCGCGACAACTTACCGTCAAGCTCGATATCGTAAGTAACTGGCATATCCTCATCGGTGCTGATAAGGATCGGTGCGTCCCTTCGAAGTTTCCTCTCCCTCACATTGAAACGTATACCGCTGTCCTTCCTGGGACTAACCCACAGAATGCGCGGATCTTCCAAGTCCGCCTTCTCTTCTTCTACTTCTCTTACGACCTCTTTCCCCTTACCTATTTCCTCAACAATCTCAATTGGTACTTCTGTGTTAGTCGTCGATCCTTTCGCCGCGATGTCGCGTAGCCACTCTCTCCACACTCGAAGTACGCCTTCCTCAATGTCAACGAAATTGGTAAAGAGATTATGAGATCCAATCTTCACAAGGTTGGTCTGCGCGACCAGCTGCGTGAACAATTCATGCGCCTCCAATCCCAGCGTCTGCTTGACCGTTTCACCTTGGTACTTCTCCTGCACTGCCCCTGGAAAGGTGCGACTACCAGGTACGTCTCCAGGTCTTGGCTTCACTCGCCGCCCGCCCGCTTCAAGATCGCGCCTATGTGGACGGAAGCGAGAGTACATGTTATACATATCGCCTAGTCTACCAACCTCTTTTGTGCTCGAATTCGACTCATCGTATTGTGTCAAGCCGTCGGTGCATCTGTATGTACAAAAATATGGCGGCTCGGTGAGTTTGGCGGAGGGGTGGAAACATTCGAGTAGCACAGAGTGCGAGTGCAATTCGGCAGCTGCAACAAGCCGGTTGTGCAAGATGCGTAGGATCAGCGTGTATATACGGTGCGATATTGTGGTCAACTTTAAGAGTTCAGGTGTCGGCATAGGAGTGAGGAGATGTAAGAGCAACTGCAATGGTTAGCATCTTGCTGTCAATACAGATTAACAGACAGCAAACCTCGTTGGGGAGTCTGTAAAGATAGCACTCTTCCATCTTGACAACTATGATCGTACTCGAAATAGTTCCACGACGTGTAGTTACAGTATCCCGCGAGCGAAAGCCGTCCAGCATGGGCGAAGGGAGCAACACCAGGGACCGGAGATAAGATATCGTCATCGCGATGCTAGGCTCATTTTGGAAGACCAAGGCTTATCTGCATTGGGCTAGCGCGTCAACAAGACGCGCTTTCCCGTTCAAGCTTCACCACTCACTTTCTCTGCCCATAACGCGAAACACACCTTTTCAACTAACGTTCGGCATACGGAGCAGTGGGTACAGTACGCTTGTATTGCTGCGGTCACTATTCATCATGCAAGGCTTTGTCCGTGGAAGAACAGGCAGCCCTTCCAATGCCCAACCTCAAGGCAAGCCCGACCGACAAGCTAATGCTGCAAGCGCGAGGGTACCCGCAAAGAATGGACATCATCGTCTGCAATCTCAAGCTCCCTCTGAAACCATAGCGCGCGGATACACCAACGCTAAAAACAGCTCAGCTGTGTTGCAACAACCTCCCCGACATCGCCAGTCAGGTTTGGGTCCAGGTCAGAAGCGTGATCCTTACGACACTGACGCAGAGAGTATCGACACCACAGTAAACCAGTCTGTTGTGCAGGTCGAAGATAGCCAGCAGAAAGAGCAACATCACCAACAGCAAGGTCAAGTTGAGGATTATGAGGAGAGCTCGGAAGTGGAAGATGAAGACGAAGCAGATGAATACGGAGACGGAGTAGATGAGCTGGAAGACCAGTATGACTACGAAGGCTATGAACTGACAAAAGAAGATGAAGATTATCTTCACCAGGTCAATCTTGGCCACCTCTCCAACGCTGACAAGATTTCGTTCCTGAGAAACGCAGACAACGGAGGACTCCCAACCATCGAAGGCGACTCATATCCGAGCACCACTAATGGTGAGCTTTCAGAGTGGGGAGGTGGACAAGAAGCAGCTCCCAACTTCCACAACGGTGGTGGTCCCATGTCTCAACGCCAGAGCATCAATAACCAAGCTGTACGCATGGCGGCCTCACAGCCTCCGCCTCAACAGCAAGGCCGAAATGTTCCAATTGTCAGCCACAACATGCATACTTCGTCACAAATGTTCCAGCACGGTGCAAACCTTCGCGAGCAGTCGCGCGCAACCGCACACATTTCGCAACATAGGGCCCAAAGCATCCAGCAATCTACCCCGGCCCTGCCCGCCAGTCAGCACCAAAATCATAGTCGAAAGGTACCCTATGTCACTGCTCAACCACCGACCTACTTGAATTCCCATCCTATTCCACATGCTCAGCCCGGTACCTCTCAGCAAAAGCCCACCCGGCAGGCCCCGGATCCTCGAACGCAAACCCCGGTCAATCAGAACATCATGTCTATCAAGCCACCTGCGCCAACTAGGCTTCCACCTCCATTACCTGCTATCCAAGCGCCTGTCGTGCAGGAGCAAATGATTGAGCAGGCTCCGGTTGAAGACATTGAGGCTGCCCCACTTGAAGACTACGATTCGGAGACGCTACTAAAGAAGAAATACGAAGAGCTCAAGAACGAACCCTTTGATGTTAATCCTCGTGCGCCACCGCCGATGCTCGTTGAGGACGCACTCCAAAAACCGCTCGTTGAACGTCTGCCTCTTGTACAGAAGAACCTTGATGAAGGTCAGCAAACTCAGTTCTTCCGCTCTCTACCTACTACCGAGTGGGAGGATGCTGGGGACTGGTTCCTCGATCAATTCCAGGATATTGTACAGCGCACAAAGCAGGCAAGGCAAAAGAAGCGTAAGCTAGCGCAAGAGTTTGAGGCAGAAGTTGAGAAGCGCTACGAGCATGTTTCAAAGAAGCAGCACCAAGTTCAAGAGGCTATGGACAAGATGAAGGAGCAGGGTGAAGGTCTGATGCCTAGGAGCCCGAGACCTTCCAAGAGCCCTGGGCCTAGGAGAGGCTGACAGCGAGAGCTTCCGAGATCCCTATCCCTTCCAGGTGCTGCTTGGTGACTACACGACGCAACGCATTGGTGAAGGGCACCAATGGTGACTGTGTACCACCACGGATGGCGCATAGGCAGCGTATCAAGTGTTTTTCGCGTACCATATACCCATATCCGTTAGTATAGATACTGTTCGAGCTCAAAAGTCATGTTCATTGCTTTTCTTTCCAGTCGCGTATTGTTTCCATTCCGCGCCTATCTTGTACGAAGAGGCTGGGCTTCCTTAGATGGAAACGATTGTGCGCTTAGCAAAATCGCAAGCGATATCACTGCTTTCCGATGCAAGAGTCCTTAACACTTCATTCTTCTGTTGCTATTGCGTATGGTCATCCAGTAAGTCGCCGACAGGTGAGTTTATCGCTCACCCTCTGCGTCAGGCTCTCCACCTTTCGTGTAGGTAGCTTATGGCTGCCTCTGAACGATCGCATCTTAGACAAGACTGCAAGCATGATCCCATGTATGCCCAGCGATAGGCCTTCGATGTCACAGATGGAAAAAGGCATTGCGAGATGGTGTTGTTCGGAATGCATTTTATGAGCAGAAAAGTTTGAGGCTACCAAGACGTAGTCCTGAAAGCTACATCGTTATATCTCAATTCTGGTTAGACCTTCGTAACTACAGCACGCCGTATCTCTGAATAACCCCTTTTTACTGTGATTTATTTCCCCTCCGCACTCTTGCTAGTGACCTTAATTGAGGACTGGGACCGAACAACTATGCGGAAATTCCTTGACGATGGTTTGATAATTCGCTTTCTTCCTCGGGAATGATGGGAAAAGACAGAATGGCATGACCAGGTCAACGCAACGAATCATGACGAGCTGCGGCAATGAACGACGATCTACGATCCCAGCACTACTGGCACCTGGGATGGGGTAATGTACGCTGGACGCTAAACGCGATAAAGTTTAGCGCATGGATGTCGACCACGCGGACTTGATGGCTTCGACGACTGTGCATAGCATGGCCGGACGAAAAGCCGTTTCTCAGTCGGCCACTTACGATATCTAGTTCAGAACGACGCGCGGAGTTTACTAGAGACGCATACACTTGCGACCTCCATGAGCATACGCGGAAGGAGCTGTTCAGGCCTCCGGATCCACCTTCTGCGAAGTTCGCCTTGCTCGGAACATGACGGAAGCTTGGCATGTCAGCGTTGACTACATCATTGGGATGTAGCTTTCGACCCAGTATTTTCCGGATTTAGTGGACGAGTAAATCCACGTCTTCGCATCGTGACTGTTCCTTTCGTCTCTTCACAATCTTTTTGCTGGGTTGCTGCCATCGTTCTTTCTGGTCGACAACTACCTGATCCCACAATATACCCAAATTGACGCTGATCAACATAATCAGAACGCCAAATTCAACCCAACATGGCGTTTGAGATATCCCGAGAATGGTCATCCTACCACCTAATACCTCAATCCGTTGACGTTGCCCTGAACCCCCCAGAATCCTACTTCTTCATAACCGACTTCCTGATCATAGCTTGCGGTATCCTCTATACGCTCTGCTATATGTTTTACACCATCCGGACCTATTCAGACCGCTACCTAGCTGGAACTGTACAATTTCTTTCTGCGACCATGGCATATGAGATCTACTACGCATATGTGTGTACCACGACAACTTTTCAACGGGCCTGCTTCTTTGTGTGGTTCTTATTCGATATCACGTTCGTCACAGTGGCGCTTAAGTATGCGTACAAGCCGGAGGAGAGGAGAAAGACCGTGGTGAAGTTGCTGTGGCAGGTACCGGCTTGGATGGCATTCTTGTGGTGGGTTGGCACAGTGTGGCCGGATGAGAGGGAACAGAAGACGGCGTTCTTCACGGGGTTGTATCTGGAGTTGCCGATCGGGTGGGGACAGATCTTGTATCTGGTTCAGCGGCAGGATACTAAAGGGCAGAGCTTGGAGATTTGGTATGTCGACATTTGTTCTGGCGGTTGGACGACATCTTCCTTGACTATTACTAACGGAATTAGGATCACACGATACCTCGGATGCATCACGGCGTTCTTGGTGTTCATCTGGAGATACGTCAATGTACCCGAAAACTGGTCCTACGTCGGAAACTGGTGGAGTATCGGCGGGATGATCGTTACGCTCTTGCCAGAGACGGTGTATCCCTTCTTTTATGTTTGGGCCCATAAAAAAGGGAGAGAAAATGCTGAGAGAAGAAAAATGGTTGACGATGAAAAGATGAAAGCTGGCGACAGCAGAGGGTAAACGAATGCGTGTCGCATTGAGTACCTACCCTGAGAGTAACTGCGGTGCTTCATGTCAACAGGCTAACGAGACACAAGATTATGCATACCCTACCTATGGTATCTAGCGAGAATTCTATCTGTATAAAAATCTGCACGTCAGCCATTGCCCGCACCCATCATGGTCGTTTCCTTCATCTCAATACCGACACGAAAACCGGTTTTTCTTTTTTTTTCTTCGATATTATCAGCCGCGCTCGTGGTCCGAAGCCTTATTCTTGTACGGCCTGGCAGCAGGTGCAAGGCGGTACCGGAAATTCGGCACATTCGGTCAGGCCGTGGAATGATGTTGCGACCACTGTGCGAAACCCAAGACGGCCGATCGGCTTCCAAGAATTTCAGCCACACAAACAGTTGTCACACACCGTGTGCAAAGACGGCCAAAATGGTCTGCCGGCATATTTGGAAGTAAAAGTGGGACGGCCGTTGGTTCGGTTCGTCTTAGGCATGCAAAGGTTAGAGCTGATGAACCAACGCGTAGAGCGATGCACAAGTTGTTGCGCTGAAATCAGGATCGTCAACAAGCATCCCGGTACCATCAAACAAGCTTCCCAGCCGCGCGATCTAGGCCGCACATGGCGTTTTTCAATGGATCGCAGCCACGACACAGAGCGTTCACATGCTCGTGCAGTGGACATGACGCTCACCATTTGGAACGCACTAGCCGCATTGCCGATCTTCAGCCACACCAATGGTACCACCGCGTCGCGAAAGCGATTTCACTAGCACCAGCCGCGATACATCATCGGCCCTAGTCTGCCAAACTTCTGTTTACTTTCCTGACTTCCCCCTTCCCCTCATCGTCGCATTCTTCATCTATCAAAGAAGCTGTCAATTATCGTCACAATGGCGCAACGAGGTGAAGCCGCCGACTACTACACTGGTGGTGCGCCACCCCAGCAACCCCAAGACGCATACAAGGGTCAGCCGTATGGGCAACAACCACCCCAGTACGGCCAGAACTATGCGCCGCCTCAAGGCCCACCGCCAATGCAGCAGCCGAATGGCTACGAACAGAATGGCTATGGCGACAACAAACAAACCTTTGAACAAACGTTCAAGCTCGACAAGCCCAAGTACAACGACTGGTGGGCGGGATTGCTCTTTATTGCAGTGTTTCTCGGCTACGTCGCGGTCAGCGCAATCTCGATTCGGGGATATTGTAAGTATCCAATCCCGTCACAACGCAATGTCCATTGGATAAAGACTGATACATCCTGCAGCGCGAACCAACAGCGGTGGCATCTACGGCGGCGACACGAATAATTTCGCTCTCAATTCAAACACCATCATCCTCTTCGCGTTCGTCCTGGGCTTAGCCATCGTCTTCAGCTATGCATACATGTGGGCTGCGCGCAAGTTCACCAAGCAGTTCATCTGGATCACCGGCATACTCAACATCATCTTCGGTTTTGTCACAGCCATCTACATGCTGTCGAGGAGATACTGGTCGGGAGGCATAGTCTTCCTGCTCTTCAGCGTCTTCTATGTCTTTTGCTTCATCAGCTGGATTCCTAGAATTCCGTTCAGTGTCCTTATGTTGCAGACCGCCATCGACGTGTCGAAGAAGTACGGGCACACTTACATCGTATCGTTGGTAGGAGGATTGCTTGCCGCCGCATTGGGCGCATGGTACTCGGTCACCCTGGTGTCGATCTATGTCCAGTATACCCCGAACGGCGCCAATTCCAATTGCAGGAACGGTGTCGGTGATTGTGGAAATGGCAAAGTTATTGGCTTGCTCGTCTTCGTTACCTTTGCCATGTACTGGATCTCAGAGTAAGTGCTGGTAGCTACAGTTGGACATATTCAATCACTGACAGCAACAGATGGCTCAAGAACACAATCCATACTACCATCTCCGGCGTATACGGATCATGGTACTTCAACCCGAACTCTATGCCCAAGGGCGCAACCCGTGGAGCCTTCAAGCGCTCGGTCACCTACAGCTTTGGCAGCATCAGTCTCGGAAGTTTGCTTGTGGCCATCATCCAGTTCCTGCGCCAAATCTGCTCGGCTGCTCAGCGCAACGCGGCCAGCGACGGCAACCTTGTTGGCGCAGTCCTATTCTGCGTCTTGGGCTGCTTGATTAGCATCTTGAACTGGGCTGTCGAGTTCTTGAACAGATACGCGTTCAGCTACATTGCGCTCTACGGAAAGAGCTACGTCGCCGCTGCGAAGGATACATGGAAGTAAGTGCAGCATTTGCTCGAGATCCGGAGACACCAAAGCTAACTAGAGTAGGATGATCAAGGACCGCGGTATCGATGCGCTGGTGAATGAATGCTTGATCGGACCGGTGCTTTCCATGGGAGCCACGTTCATTGCCTATGCCTGCGCGCTTCTGGCTTACCTCTACCTCATCTTCACGTCGCCTGCCTACAATTCAGATGGAGGTTACACTCCAGTTGTAGTAGCATTCTCCTTTTTGATTGGCCTCCAAATTTGTAAGTCGCTCGAGACCATTTGCAAAATTCGCACTAAACCGTTCTAGGCAACATCTTCACCACGCCCTTGAGCAGCGGTATCGACACCATTTTCGTTGCGATGGCGTGGGATCCCGAGGTACTTATGCGCGAGCACCCAGACCTCTACCACCGCATGATAGCTGTATACCCGCACGTGCAACAGGCTATCCACGCATAAACTGGGTCTGCGGAAACTATACCCTTCGTCGAAGCATCGGAACTTTATAAAATCTTTATAATCACGAGATACCCACTTTCACTCGATCGCGATCATTTGCGGCACAGTTTTTCACGATTCTCGTTGCAATGGCGGGGCTGCCCTGATGGACAACGCAGGATGTCGGGCTTGGCGCAACTAAAGGCGGGAGAACGTACCGATGTCTCCACAAGGCCACCGTCCACGCTATTGCAATGACGTATGACGTTTACAGCCCCATCCACACCATGGAAAGCGTGATCGAGGCGGAGCATAATGTTGGGAGTTGCACGATCTGGAGCGGCCTCCACGGCCGAGAAGACTCCGCATCGCGAGATTCTGTCAGGTAGAATGTTGGGCATCACCACCATTGAGGTATTAATATATTGTGTTCAACTTCATGTTGCTAGGTTGCTATCAGCCTACTGTACGTCAATCACCCACGCCTTTGGGATTGCTTTTGCACGGTGTCTCGGTTCGTGCCTGCCCCCATTTGATCCTAGCAGCCAATCGGGTCCACATGTCGTCACTGTCGTTGCGGGGACTCTTCTAGCCATTTCACCCAACGCGCTGGGCGCCCCCAACATAAACACCACTTGTTTCCCCTCTCTTTCACCCACGACCTACTGCACCTCCAGGCTCACCTGCACACCGCCCACTGAGAGAATCTTCTGGCCAAGTAAGTTGTGTCCAATTGCAATACGTAACCCATAAATCCCTCCGGCTCCTGCTACATATACCCCGCCAACGCGCCTTCCTGTCCCACCATCAACACAACAACAAAAGCCCCTCTTCCTCACCTACCCCTCCAACTTCCTCTCCCTTACCTCAACCCCAGACCACTCGAGTAACACTCAACCTCTAGTTAAACATATCCGAACCTTCCACATACTCCCACCAACCACACATCATGTCCTACGAGAAGAAGGCAGTACACTTTGGCGGTGGTAACATCGGCCGTGGCTTCGTCGCCGAGTTCCTTCACAACTCTGGCTACGAGGTCGTCTTCGTCGACGTCATGGACAGCATCATCGAGTCCCTCCAGAAGACCAAAACATACACTGTCACCGAGATTGGTGACGACGGCGAGCGCAAGTTCACCATCGACCACTACCGTGCTATCAACTCCAAGCACGAGATGGACAAGGTCGTTCAGGAGATTGCTAGCGCCGACGTCGTCACCTGCGCTGTCGGCCCCAACATCCTCAAGTTCGTCGCTGAGCCCGTCGCCAAGGCTATCGAGGCCCGTACGCTCGACTACCCCATCGCCGTCATCGCCTGCGAGAACGCCATCAATGCCACAACCACATGGAGAGGGTTCATTGAGAGCAAGCTGAGCGAAGAGACCAAGAAGAACATCGACAGCAAGGCTCGCTTTGCCAACTCTGCTATCGACCGCATTGTCCCACAGCAACCCCCCAACGGCGGCCTAGATGTTGTCATCGAGAAGTTCCACGAGTGGTGTGTCGAGCAGAAGCCTTTCGAGAACGGCGGCAAGAAGCCGGATGTTAAGGGTATCCACTACGTCGACGACCTCGAGCCCTACATCGAGCGCAAGCTCTTCACTGTCAACACCTCTCACGCTACTGCCGCCTACTACGGACACCAGAACAAGGTCCAATACATCCATGAGGTTCTTCATGACAAGAAGCTCCACGACACCGTCCGTGACGCTGTCAAGGAGACTGCCCATCTAATCGTCACCAAGCACGGCGTTGAGACAGCTGAGCAAGATGCATACGTTGAGGAAATCATCAAGCGTATTTCCAACCCTGTTCTCAAGGACAATGTCGAGCGTGTCGGTCGCGCTCCCCTCCGGAAACTCTCTCGCAAGGAGCGCTTCATTGGTCCCGCCGCTCAGCTGGCTGAGAGGGGTGAGAAGGTTGATGCCCTCCTCGGCGCCGTCGAGCAGGCCTACCGCTTCCAGAACGTTGAGGGCGATGAGGAATCTGTCGAACTTGCCAAGATCCTTAAGGAGAACTCCGCTGAGGAGGTTGTCACTAAGGTCAACGGCATTGAGAAGGGACAGCCCCTCTTCGACCGTCTTGTCGCCATCGTCAAGAAGGTCCAGGGAGGTAGCTGAATATCCGCCGGTAAACTCTAAGTAGTAGTCGGTGCGGCTTGATGAAGGCTAAGTGGTCAGGCATATTGAACTTAGCATGGTAATTTTCAGCGAGGAAGATCAAAAGCGCCCTGGGCGATGGCTCAATGTGGCGAACCTTTTACGGCATTGACCGGGATCAATGTCCTGTATAATGACAACGAGACATGATAATGAATATACCCTCTCAGTAACTTCATTTCTCTATCCATCTTCTCATCGTTCTCTCTTCCTCATATGCTTGTGTGACAGGCCATATAATTTAACTTACCACAATCTTGCCCTTCTGCACATAAGTCGCTTTCCTACTGCTAAGTCGCCCAGAATGTCGTTAAGCGATCATTGGCTAGAAATTTATCCAAATTTATATAGTATTGTTATGTACGATTGCTCAACTGGAGGATATTCTATTGCGCTCAAAGGTCTTCTTTCTGAATATTTACATGGAAGATAAACGATACCACCTCATCGAATGTTAGCCATTTCAAGCTGTTGTATTCCCATTCTTCCAGCCTTGAATCTCATCCAGCGTCAAGACGTACTCGTCGCTGTAAATTCTCTTCATCATATCCAAGCTGTTCCATTCGCCGCCAGTAACATACTCGCCACTCCATACAGCAAAGAAGACCCAGTCAGCCTGATAGGCCTTCAACTGTTCCGGTTCCATCAGACTGCCAATTTCCGCCGCAGCAATCATCTTGGTATCGTCCGTAAGCTTGATAAGATCGTTGTATGTGGCAGAAATCGGACCATGGTCACCCTTGGCGTATGTATCCGCAGAGACGATATCCACAACATCGGATCCGGGGTACCATGCCGGATCCACTGAGTTCCACACCCAGACCAAGTTGTTGAGAGAGTGTTGAACAGTGAGACGCTCGTAGAGGATGTGGTAGAGTTTCTTGCATGCTTCGGGACCTTGGGCACCCCACCAGAACCACTTGCCTTCAGCCTCGTGCAGCGGGCGCCAGAGGACGGGTACGCCGGCATCCTGGAGCTTCTTCAGTTGAACTGCGATGGTATCAATGTCCTTGATAAGCGCAGTGTAGTTTGCGTTGGTAGTGTCGACGAGTGCGTCCGCAATGTTGAAGTCGGTAGCTTCGGTGTAGAAGCCACGGTACCAGGGTTGAGCCTCAGTATCGTAGAGGCCAGCTGGAGCGTTCCAGTGCCAGACAACGGTTACCATGCCACCTTTCTCTGCGAATGCAAGAGCACTGGTGGTATCGTTGGAGGAGGCACCCTTGGCGATGCGACCTTCGGTGTAGTCCATCATATCTACGCCGAGGATGGCGGGAGTCTTGCCGACGTTGGCTGTCACCCATTCTAGAGAGGCTTGGTCGTACTGGCCCGAGAGGATGTTCTTGCCGTAGATACCACCTAGGTAGCTCATCAGAGCTTTTGCGTCGGCGTTTGCATTTGCGTTGACCGGAACGGCTGTTATGTTGTGTGGGCCTCGCTCTGCAGATGGAGAGAGCGTGATGGCATCAATCAGATAGTAACCCCAGTTACTCTGAATCTCGATCGTATTGTTGGCATTCTCTTCAAATAATACTTGTCCCGCTGATACGGTCGTCCATTTTGTGGTAGCTGGTAGACTGACTTGCGATCCGGAACCGCCGTTGAGTACAATGTAGGTTTGCTTGTCGCCGTTGGGACCGTTGTAGACGAGACTGAGATCATACAGGCCGGTAGTATTGGAGGGGATTTGAAACGTGACCTTGTCGGTTGCGTCGGAGAAACCGTCTACATATCCGGAGCCTACACAGTGTTAGAAGTCTACAATGGGATATAAGAGAGTACCCGAGGAATGCTTACCTGTGTAGCCTGCTACTGAGGTAGCTACGGTTGTTCCAGAAAGTACTGCGTCCTCAGCCTGGTAGGTCACTGATTGAGCTGCGGTGAAAGTAAAGAGTGCCGCCAGGGCATATGTTGAAGTGAACATGATATCGCCGGTTTGAAGAGCTTGCCCGTGTATGCCCAGATTACATGATGAAGAAGGGACGTTATATATCGAAACACTTGACCCTCTCTACAACAATCCTCAATCTCAATTTCCAACCATATCCACTCTAACCCGGAAAGTTCGGAGCCGCGTCTCCATGCGCGATATGTCAGTTCATTTGTTTCGAAACATTAGCGTGTCTTGAGGCCTTGAACGCATGACTTGGAACGTCGCTCCACAGAGGTCTTCTAGAAAATAGCTGTCAATTCCGCTTGCTGGGCTTGGCTTTGATCTTCTGACTAGCTATCTGTAGATTAAAGGGATCGTGTTTGCCCGTACTAAAAGCCGCCAATGAGGTTGTTCACTGGTGGCTGGTTAATTCATGTCCGCGAACGTCTCTTTCTCAGCGCATTTCTTTATCATATGCGCTACCCAATCTACACTACTGAGCCGCAGCTAGATGTAACTGACGAGAGATAGCAACGCGATACGCGTGAATGGTATGTTGCGATAAGTTTGTAAGAAGCTCTTTCGAAAACATATACGAAAATGAGGGTTTCGTTCATCGGAACGATCGAAATCGTTCCGAGGAACACCAAAAGCTTGTCACATGACACCGTCTAAAACACGACCCAATTCTTCAACACCAGCAAAAACTCAATCCCACCATGCAACACGCATAGCGAAAGAAAAAAGATAAAGTTGTCTCCCCACCATGAGTCGAACAAGGGACCTTCTGATAACAGCAGATATTACAGTCAGACGCTCTAAACCAACTGAGCTACGGGGAGAATGTTTCGTGACGAAACCGTGCTTGTGTTGAGATGGCAAATTTTGCCAGAGTGACTTTATAAAGATGAGACAAGAATGTACAAAATGAGGGGTCGAAGGGCGAAACTGCGGCGGCAGATGGTTGGCTGAACATAAAGGAGTACGCGGTAGAGGTGGGGATGTTCAAAATGAAAAGGGAAAAGTCTGCGGGACTTTGCGGCTGAACGGTCGGGTTCTGGCGAACTCAAAAAGGATTAGCAGGCCTGGATACAAGAAACCCCATCTTACAGATCTTGGTGCGTTCTCGAATCATCAGTTCTTCTTCCTGGAAGCAATGCTTGCTGTTCAGGGTACGCAGAAACGTAAGGTATCAACCTGTAGTCCAATGCATCGCCGAACCATCTCCTCCATATTTTCCTAAATTCCTGCTCTTGGAGTTCGGCCAAAGTTGCGCCCTTTCGCTGAATATGAAGAGTACATGCCCAGATCCTTTTCATGAAGTCGTAATGAGCCTGATCTGGGGAAAACATCTCGTCCTGCGTATACCACGGAATGAGGAATGTGATTCGTGTCACCACGTTCTGCAGCTATCCATGATGCGCCCAGCCATAGGATAGCACCTAGGAAAAGAACACCTCATCCGGTATCTCCGAACTTGATTCACGTGCAAAGGGTTGAATACTTCAAGTAGCATTGTTGCGTATTATCGCTCCATTTGGAAACCTCCAGGAACACGTGCGGGTATCACGAACAGGGATGTTCGGGCAGTGTTTGCGGCCTTCACCTCGCAAGGCTAAAGTTTCCATAAAAATCTTGAGTGAACGCAAATGAATCAGAGAAAAGAGTTTTTTGACTCTATTGTAATAGTGGGCGCCTTTGCGGCGTTCGTTTCGACTGTCGTTCCTACACTGTGCCACTTCTGCGACAGCCTCTCACTCTGCTTAATCACCTTCTCCTCTCACTTCTCTTGTCCTCTTGAGACTCTACACGCCTTTCGAATCCTCACTCTCTTTTGCTCAAGGCCAGTTTCTCAGCAACCGCGTTACATCGACAACTTCTCAACTCTAGCAGCTATGTTGACAACTTCTATCCTCGCTGCGAGCAGCTTCATCGCTCTTGGCTATGCATTCCCTCATCACTTCCATGTCGCAAGATCTACTGCTCTAGCCCCACGAGCTGATTATATCACATTTGGCGGCGACGGGTCGATGAGCGCTGGATGGCCAAAGCAGACTGAGTGGATGTCGTTTGACGATGCTTGGTATGTCCCCATCAAGGAGACGACGTATCACAGACTTACCGTAGTAGGAATGCCAATCAAGACTTCATCAAAGGTTCCTGCAAGCACAACGGCTGGGGCGACAACAACAACGACGCGGAAACACAGGCCATCAAGGACAGCATAGAGTCAGAGTCAGAGGTTTCCGGCGTCCCGAAGGAGTTCATCCTCGCCATAATGATGCAAGAGTCCAAGGGCTGTGTGCGCGCCCCCACCTCGAAGTCCGACACACACAATCCAGGTCTTATGCAAGGCGCGGGTACTACAACTTGTCATCCCCTCGGTCAGAGTCCCATCTCGCCATGCTCCGCCAACGACATCCGCGCCATGATCCACGAGGGTACTGCAGGAGAGGGATTGAGGACGAGTCTGAAAGAGTCGCTTAGTGCTTTCAGTACCACCACGGACGACAGCAAGTACTACATAGCAGCGCGTCGCTACAACTCCGGCTCTCAAGTCACAAATCCAAACCTGGGTCATAGTGCTACGGCGTGCTACGCATCCGATATCGCGAATCGTCTCATCAAGCCTTTTGGACAGAGTAGCTGCAATAACAATGCTGTTGCTGGACTTACCATGACGAAAGGCCGCGAGAGAAACTACGGCGAGAACGACGATAGTGGCAACCAGAAAATCGACCTGGATCAACATCAGACCGACCACAAGCAGGCAACACCAAATGAAGCCAGTGATGTTGAAGCCGGCGATAGTGGCATCCTCGACACCAACGTCACAGGCGCAGCAGATGGCTGTACCAGATACTACACTCCTACGGAAGGCGCCACCTGCGAGTCCGCACCCATTGCTTTCGCCAAGTTGCGTCAGCTCAACTCGAAGCTAAAGGACGATTATTCCAATCTCTGGGCTGGATACCAGTACTGCATGGCTATTTGAGCGTGAATCACTGGCTAGGAGAGACAAACAGAGCTGTCGAGATGTTGCGATTGTTTCTTGGTATCAATTGCTTCCTTCGCGTGGTTCATCATCGTAGTAATCTAAAGTAAGCCTCTACTGACCAGATACAATCAACTGAGTGATATCATCAATCTCCTTCACCGTCGGTGTCAGGTTCTCGTGTCCATCCTTGGTAACGAGCACGTTATCTGCAAAGCATTAGCATATCATCGATACATCTGGTCGTCATAACATACCCTCAATCCTCACACCACCCACACTCCAGTACTTCTCCAGCACACTCTCGTCGATGTACTTCTTCTTCTCCTCATCCTTGAGATATGGCTCGATGATGAATTTGCAGAAGTAGATGCCAGGCTCGACGGTAATGACGCTACGTTCAGGTAGGGTGCCCCTCTTCCTCAGATACCTGAACATGACATCCTTGTCCGCATAGTTGGGGTCACCACCAGAATCGTGAGTGTCCATTCCGAGGTAGTGACCCAGACCGTGAGGGAAGAAAGCTACACTAATCCTCTTGTTGAACAGCTCGCCTGCGTCGCCCTTCAATATGCCCAGATCCAGGAGTCCCTTAATAGCAATCTTGTGAGCAAGCTCGTGGACATGGTCCCACACAACGCCGGCCTTGAGTGCGTTGATACACTGGTGTTGCATATCCAGCACAATCTTGTAGATAGCAAGGGACTCAGTTGTGAATTTACCCTTTACAGGGAATGTGCGCGTGATATCGGAGGCGTAGCAGTCAACCTCACATCCTGCATCCAGCAGCAGAAGATTTTGGTCCGAGATTGGCGCAGCATTATTGACGTAGTGCAATGTCGCGGCATGTTCACCGGCCGCAACAATAGAGTGGTAGGCTTGGTTTTTCGCGTTGCGCTCTACGCATGCCTTGAGGAACACAGCTTCGAGTTCGCATTCGTTCTGCGCTTTCGACGCAGCCTTCATGACAGCTTCATGGGCTGCGGTTGAGATGACGTTTGCTTTTCGAATAAGCGCGATCTCGTAGTCTGACTTGGTGACGCGACAATATTCGATGGCAGTCTTGAGTTGTTTGAACTCCTTTTCTTTATAAGAAATGAAGGTGACGTGATCCGAGACCTGTTCTGGAATGGCATAGATGGTTGATTGAGCTGATTCGGATTGGCTGGCGAGGTGGGAGTTGACGTCCTTGGTTGTTAGACATTCGTCAATGTCATACTTTGCTTTAGCTTCTTCGGGGCTCATAGGTAGGCCAGACCAGATGACCTCGTCGGGTTCTACGGGAGGGATGAAGAGAGTGAGCTTGTCAGTGGCGATTTCATATACCAAATGAGAGTCTGGCAGTTCACATCCGCTGAGGTAGAAAAAGTATCGTCGCTGACTGGATGAAGATAATTAGCTCCGTGCTTCTCTTCGGTCGCTATACCACCTACCGGAAGGGTGCCTCGCCATCGTTGTCCTAAACAAATGAATCAGTGTCTGTTGTAAACCCGAGCATTACTATGGGCACCTACCTCGTTCAACTTCAATTTCTGCGCCTCTAGATAAATTGTTCCGTTCTTGTCACCGCCCTTCTCAATGATCCACTCTGCGACCTTCTTCGCATGTGCTTTGGCTGGGTACTTGCCCTTCAGCACGTCTTCATAGTTTTCGGCAATAGCCATCTTGTGCACGTTTGTCCAGCTGCCGCTCTCTGCAGATAAGGTGTAAAAGCAGGGTGTCGCGATGGCCGAGTGTCTTGTTGGTGACGGTTGACGTGCACGTAAAGTGTGTCGAAGTGAACGGCTGATTTGAGGTAGTAGGGCACGCATGGGGGAGCTTCGAGGAGCTTTGCTGATGTTAGGCGCGACGATAGCTACAGGCCGGGAAGGTGGGGTGGTGGGGTGAGCTCGCACGCGTCTGACGGGTAGCCGCGGTCTACGTGTCGCGATGTTTTAAAAAGGAAGGTGCATCTATTCGTTCCGATTGTCAAAAGATGTACGTCGCAAATCTTCGCCCTGTGAAGCGGATGTCGGGTTGATAATTTTTGTAATACTACATGATCATGTCTAATTTCTCAACCCAGAACAAGTCGTTCAACGCCAATAAACACGCTTGAGCTCCAGACGCCAGTCCGCTATGCCATCATTATTCAGCGCGAACCTATTTTACGCCCCGCGTAGACCAAAAATACCTTAAGACAACCCATTGTTCATACGAGCGACGAGCTGTTTAATGCAATTCGTGCTTTCAAATCCCCAACCCTTAATCTTTCACACAATAAATGGACAGCCACACCATGCGCTAACGTTTATCATCTATCGAAGTCGGTATAGGTTGGTCATTCATCTTCGTCCGTTGCGTTGAGTGGTCGATCGATTATGCTTTTCGAAAAAGGAAGACTAGTCCTGCCAGCGTCTGAGGTACTTGGCCATATCGTCGGTAGCGTGAGGAGCCGCGGCGACCTAAACAACAATCAGTACATCTTCTAGATAGCAAGCAAGTCGCGCATCTCTGCGCACAACAAATGACGTACCGTGTTCTCCATGCTCTTAACAGAGAATGTTTGACTCTGCGTGAGCGTAGTCTGGATGGTCGGTATTGGCAGCTTCGACTTTGCAATCTTGACGCTGCTGGTAGGATACAGCGGCTTCGTGTTCTTGGCGGTAATCTTTGTAGGCGGTACAGGCTGCATGGGCGCATAACGCGTAGGGCCCGTTTGCATTGTGTAAGTCACACCGTAGTCGCCCTCAGCAGGGTCCGCTGCAGCGGGGTCGGTTCCATCAGTCGTTGTGTCTTCGGTTGCTGGTCCAGCGGTGGTGGAGATGTCCTCCGCAGCCTTCTTGACAGTAGGGTTGAGGATGTTTTTGCCTGTGAAGCCAGAGAACTGGAAGCGGTCAGAGTAGGTGACGAGCTGACCACCAGTCTTTCCGACTGCGATCATCTTGATGAAGCTGTGACAGTCGAGTTAGCATCTTGCTGATCTGGGTTGATTGTGGGAACATACTAGGCATTGGCGGTCTTCAAGTCCTCAGACATGCCTACTTCGATCCTACCCGAAGCTGTGTTGCCAGCTGTGAATGCACCGCTGGGTGTAATGGTACCCACTACGAACTATTTCCCATCGTTAGAACATCTCAATGCGCCTCCACGAGTGCCTGTATTGTAACCTACCTGCTCAGAGCCTTCATTTCCTCCTACAATCAGCTGCAGCTGATAAGTCGTCAGATCTGTCAGCGCAGGTCCAGAGCCGCCCTCTTCCCATTTCACGGTAACGGCTGTGCCAGCCGTGAGTTTGTCACCCGCGCTCGGTGATGTGAACTTGACGCCGGCGTTTACAAGTGGAGACAGAGCGGCGAGGAGCGCGAGGGGAAGTAGTATCCGAGTCATCGTGAGGGATTGTGATAGTAGCGAGTGGCGGTCGGGTAGCGGTGTGGCTAGGAAAGCGAGCGTGGAGGGGTGGGTCGTAGCTGCTGTCCGGTAATGGAACGAGGGGCGCGATACACGCAGTTTACGCGTATCTTCAATGCGATAAACAGATGCGTCGAGACGAGGCAACAGTGGAGACAGGTATTGCGCGGTGGTTGTTAGTGTTGAGTAGAGGATGCAGTCTGGAATCAATCAAGCAACATGCGGCGACGCCAGGGGACGATCGTCGTTGCCGCGCACGCTAATCTGCGATTGGCAGGGATTATCGCTCTATTGCGACGCCTCAACACCATGGCAATAAACATGTACACTTCAGTTCCATGGTTGACCACACTACTTGTTGTATTAACGTGCATATCGTTGCTATGACACTTCAAACAGCGTAAACAGATAGCATCCGATTTGCTCCACTCGTCTATCTCCCACTTTGGGGCCGGTACCTGAATCCTCAACATCGGGTCTCCACAATCAACCGCCAAAAGTGGGCTCGCTGCAGCTTTTGTTTGCACGTCGAAAAATTTGACTTTCTTCCAGTACACACCTCTTGGTGTCTATAGTACAGAAGCTTCCCAGCTATCGTGTCCGTGTTTTGCTACCCAAACGCCTTTGTTATGCTAAATGAGGATATCCTTAAATCCGGTCAAAAGGAAACGCTTGCCTTTTGTGTCGCTCAATTCAAACAGCCTGTGCATTCCTTATCTTTGGGCTATTCAGCTTTAGGTTGAATGACGTCGGTAATCTGCATGTCATGGTCGCTGCCTGTCCCGCCTTCTGCAGTTGAAGCGTCAAATCTTTCAGCTTCTCCGGTGTGAAGATTTGGACATCGAACGACAGCAAAAACTCCACACACAGCTCCAATCGGCTAAGTGCTGCCTCGTCAACACCTCCTACTGCAGCGAATCGTTTTTGAGGCCATCGGTGGTCCTCTAGTGCCTTCATTGCGACGAGAGCGCAGGCCAGGATGAGGCGATGCATTGTGCGGTATGTGAGAGGAACGCTCCTATCGATAACGCATAATCGCAGCATGTACGATCCAGCAGCCAGCCAAACAGCAGTAGATAAGGGGCAAAATCTCTGGATGCGGTTCATGTACTCCTCAACACCGACTTTAGGCACTGTCTTGGAGAAAAACTTTCGAGCCATGTTGGCTCGTTGCACGGACTCGGGCTGCGCTCCGGCGCCAATGTCGTGTATAGTGACGGGCTCATCGTGACCCGCTTCGGGTGGAGCTAGTTCGGTGGGTTGATGATTCTCTTTTTCAGCGGGTATAGGCGTCGCTGGCCTGGATGCTGTCCGCCGATGTGATCGAATGAGATGGTTTTCCCTTCCTCCAGGCGTTCCAGGCCGTGAGAGTGGCGGTGTTGCTGGTACGTCGCCGGCTGCATTGGCTATGGCGATTATCGAGCGGGCGATTAATTTCATGGCGGTTTCTCGTGACATGGTCAAAACATCGAGATCGGTGTCATTGGTTGGTGGTGATGGTGCGTCCTGAATGCTGAGGCTGTTGAAATGTGGTAGTACTCCTGCATCGCCTGCCGGGTTGGGTGCTGAGGGAGGATCCATGGTTTGTTGGTTTTGAATGACCGGTGCAAGTACGAGTCGCCTCGGATGCACGGTCTTGTATGGAGGGGCTGCGTGGCACACTTGGATCATTTGGACTTGTGGATATGCTGCCGAAGTCTACCGATATACTTTGCAGGTGGAAAGTGTATCGAGCAAGAGCTGAAGAGATTGATGTAGGAGGTAGTGTATAAAATGTCGGAGGCCTGCAATTGATCAACACAAAGTCCAGCGTAGTGCTGAACATTAGCTTACACTTGGATGTGAGGATCAGCGTGATTAGCGTGACGACTAGGGAGGCTCGTATTCGTAGGGGTTAGAGGGTTGGCGATGTGAGTGTTGATGTATAGAAGGACAATGGAAGATACGATAATCGATAGCCTTGGGGGGAGGCGTTCAGTTTGTAAGGTCAAGTGACGCTAGAAGGATTGCGTCTTGACTTATTGCAGCTGGTCGGAACCTTGATGCAAGCGCCGTCCCGAAGCTCGCTGCCGCGTTGTATAAACGGTGGCCATGGAAGAGTAGCGTAAAGTGGCTGGACGAACCCTGACAAGGCGCGGTGAAGCGCGCCGAGTGCGTTGGCGGGTCACGATGTGAGGGTACGTGGAGCGCTGGAGAGCGTCGACTCACGATGCGAGGCCCGAGAGCGGGTCTCGTGAGTGCGGAACAAGGCTAGAGCGCTGGCCCACCGGGCCGTGACAGTGCAGGCAAAAGACGCGCAGCAGTCTCCCTAAACAGCTTGCATCTCTCGAGGCGACGAGAGAAAGGAAGAGAGATGGTGGATCCAGGCCGTCGTGATTGGCGGTTAATTAGCTGTTAAGTACCCAGCAGCGGGATGAGAAGATGCATAGGTTCGAGCAGTTCCGGGGTGGATTCCGAAAGAGTGCGCGAGTTTGTAGATATCGGGCACAATACTGCGGGGCACCTGCGTGGTTCTGCAGGGTCCGCCGCGCCTTAGAAGAAGCGACGAAGCCCTGGAGACACGATGGAGCTGCCTACTGGACTGTCATGTGAGAGTAATTGCGGAGATGAAGAGGAATCTCGGAGAAATGAAGCACCTGGCCAGACTCGGGTCTATAACTATTGCCTGCTGAACCGCGGCTACCTTACGTTTGTACCTGGGCTCGCCCCCTACTTTCACACTTCATTGCTGCCATCGTGACCATTGTCTCGCAGTTTGTGGCTACAAAGTACCTCCTGCCAATGCACGGCTAACGCACGTCCGTCGCATTGGGACGGCAGGCAATGACAGCACGTAACAGTACACCCTCCCACCACCCTCTGTAGATCTGGCAACACTATGCATGCATCGCGGGACCGGGTCGCTGTATCACAAACTCTACGATCGCACAACTTGCAGCCAATCGACCCACCCTTAAATCACGAACATGCGCACTGTGATGCACCTCCACGTGTTCGCGCAGTCTTGACCGGCCCTCTCACCCTCGGGTGGCGTGTTCCACTCGTCGATAGCCGGACCGCAATGTCACCAAACGATGGATGACAGATGTCAGAGAACCTGGACTATTGTCCGTAGCCATCGCCAATAGTTGATGACATCGACGCCATGGCTTAAATTACCCGGGCTATGGGAGCTTTCGAGGGTCCCGAAACAGACGCCCATGCCCAGCATTTGTACTCTAGCGTGAATGCTACCTTAGCCCTTTGGTCCGCTTGACAGTCGACACACTTGAACGACGGCGTCGCTAGCTTCTTCTACCCAGTAAGTTGCTCATTTACCAGGGATCAGTACGCTCTTCATGATCGAGGCATTTTCTTCTTTGCGACCTTTCCTGCCCATAACGCTCACGTACCGTGTCCTCCACATCCCGCAGCGGCACTGACCCCTCTTTCGCCCGTACTTGGCAGCTACCTATCCAAGCAACAATGACTCTACAATCCGGCAATGGCCACTGTGCATGTAGCACCGTCGTCCCAACAAATGTGTAGTTCTATAGCTCAGCACTACGTTCACGCTACGTGACCCCCGTCCCTGCAGCAAGCTTTCTGTCACGTCATAATGCATCCAGTGGCTTTTCTCTAAACAAGGGTCAACGCAAGTAATTGTAACTCTGAGCACCTGATATAGTCAAGTACTCCGGCGGATCGTTTGCTGTGTTTCAAATTCATGTATGGGGATGTGATAATATATATGCACGTACAAGCCGCCGTGCTTTGAGCGCTTACTCAGATCTCGATGTTGAGCATATACGACTAAGTTTGGGGTACGTACCACTACGCTCTGGCGGAATGACCTCCATGATAAGAACACTGGCCTCAACAATACTCTACTTATAACACAGCGCTATCAACACAATCTACTGATTGAACATATGAAACTGATAAGCTTGTTGCCCACTTACATACGCCATGCTTTCCTGCTATCAAAACACCTTTAGCGGCCAATGTCCATGGTGTTAAACCCGAAGAACATACGGCCTAAGCCAGCACTACCCTCAGCCCGAATGCTGAGCAAAGCTTTTCGACATGTCAGAATATCATGACCGCTGCTAGGTGCTCGACGGTAGATGTGATTTACAAAATCGAGATCTGATATGACAAAGGAAACCAGTGTGAGTGAAGAACACGTCCTACAGGCCCCAAAAGAACATTTCGCCAGAGCCAGGCGCGTCATACAAATGTTCATTTGGATTATGCTGTGATAGAAGCCAGGGAGGGCTTTAACACGGGAAGCAAGAAAGCATTCCAAAGGAGGTAAGAAGAATCAAGCACGATGCAAAATCAAATCTCGCATCTATACTTGACTCACTCTAGCCCTCTTCCTCGTGCTTCCAGGAACCACGCTCGGCCCACCTCGACTCGGCCCATCATCACCGCCACGCTTCTTCTCTTGTTGGTCCAAGACAAGCTGGAGCACATCGTACGAGAATTGTGGGAACTCGAGACACATGGCCTTGAATTCTGGCTCGGCGTCGTGGCGTAGGCTGTAGCTGCGTGTAGCCCAGAAAGCAGCCACCGGCTTGCGGATAGTCGCGTCTTCGGGGTTAGATTCCTTGTATACGTAGCGTGCGTATGCGAGCTCCCCCTTTGCAGTCGAGGCCGTGCGGTGGATCTTCGAGTGTGCGAGGGACTTCAATTCTGGGAGTTGGAGACGATCCGCGAGGGTGTAGATGCGTGCGTGGACAAGAAGACCCAAGCCTTCGTTATCAGTAGACGGCTGCCGCGGGTCCTTCTCGAGAGGTGCGTCGCGTGCGCTGGATGTTTTCTTGGGGAAGTATTCGCCGGTGTAGAGGTATTCAACCACTGAGCCCATAGCATCAACGTCGCAATCTGTATAGACGATCTGGCGAGGCTAGAGACTGTCAGTAAGCGACCTCTGGCTGAGCGAGGACCTGGTAGCGTACCCCTCCTGGCGCAAACTTCTCAACTTGTTTGACGAACTCTGGCGACTTCACGAGAACTGCCTCGTGCGCTGAGTATGTAGTTCGGTCGTCTCCGGATCCCACGATGACTTCGACGATCGGACTCTTCATGAGACTGGTCGCATGTTAGCTGCGCATTCATTCTGTATGTCTTTGACCTTCATGAGGGCAAGGAACAATTCACAATTCCGCAAAGCTAAGGCAATGATTGCGCGCACTATCTCCGGCTGTGTTCTAGCTATCAAGCCTCATGCACGCAACCAGTGCACCCCCGCTCTTGCCAGCTCACCAAAACATCCCCTGGCCTAATGTATGTATACGAGCGTGACTCACTCAGCGAAGAGAACCAGCTTGGGCGTCTCCGGTTCAATCTCAGGCAAGAGTGTTGTCTCTCCCGCGCCAGCTTCAGCGTCGCCCGCGCCCTCCATCTCAATGTCATTGACGGGTGTGCCCTCAATCGGCGTCTGTTGCTCAAGATCCGCCATAACTATTATGATTGGGTATATGCGATAGCGGAGGAAAGTGTGTGGAAGCGAATGAAACTATTCGAAACAAGCTCGAAGATAGCTATGCGGAATATCAATGTCAGCAACCAGAAAATAGTATGAATCGCGAAAAGCGGATAGCTAGAGAGATGGTAGCGCTATACAGAAATCACGTGTCAAAGCGCGTGGAACTACTTAGAGAGCGTTGAGTGGTGGTTGGACACGACCGGGAGCCTTCTTGAGAGCTTGTACGCGTCTTCGAGAGCTGGAGCTGGGGAGCTCTCTCCACGCTAACGCAGGAACAGGTCTTGGCGAGCGTCAGCCAGCATCACACAAACATGTCTGCACCAACAACATAGCAACGACTGGGAGTACAATAGAGATAGGTTGGATTCGGATCTAGAATATGTACATATAACATCGCTACTTGCGTGATATCCAATTGCGACATGGGTAATTTTCAGGTGCTCTAACCAACGCCGCCGATAATGCTATGCTCCATAAATGCGACGAGATTAAAGTGAACAAGGTTCTCAACCGGAGCCAAGGGCTAAGGGGAAGTAGTCGGATCGTCAGACTACAGACGGCCACCCTTCTCGTGGAAGCGATCGCCAGTTGTGGGGACGGGTTTGTCCGCCCGGATAACGTAAAGTAGGAGGTCCTCAAGCGGGATGAAGACGTAAAAGAACTTGTTGCAAAGAAAGGAAAGGAAGACGAAGCAGGTAGCCACCAATGCGTCCATGAAGTAATGGTTGGCCGTAGCAACAATGACTGTCAAGATGAAGGAAGGGTATCCGATTCCTAGAAGCAGGTAGAAGATCTTCCAGAATGCGTTCTTGCGTACTTCGCCCTGTTCCAGGGTGCGGCGGAAAAGACCGGAGTGGTAGATCATGGTCATGCCAATGCAGAAAGAGTAGCCAAAGTGCATCGATGGCATGGCTGCGAGCTGGTTGACGAACTTGCCGCTCATCCATACACTTTGTGCGTCGTCGTGGCGGACAGTGTCAAGGAAGCCGTATTCGGTAGGTAGAAGTCGTGGCGGCATGCATGGGTATACAACAAAGGTCATAAAAGCGCAGAAGTTGGTCAGGGTAAGGGTCCGGCGGGCGATGGCAAAGGTGTCAAAGGACGGTGCGACGTAGTAGTACCAGCAAATGAATCTTGGAGAAATTAGCAAAGATCCAATACGTTCTTCAACGGCAAACTTACCCAACCGTTCCAGGAATGTGAATGAGCGCATAGCACTTGTTCAGCACTGTAAGAGCGTCTTGGTGTCCATGCATGAACCACTGTTGGACATCTCTTTCGCGGACAGGGAATAAAAATCTCAGGAAACCATATTCTTCCGCTTCTAGTACTGCGATTCCATGTTCCTGTGCTACGTCCCAAATTCCTCGCCCGGCGAAGAGCTTGGCCGATGCAATGGCGGTCATGCGGTAGAATGCGTAGTTGATGACCCAGTAGAACATCTCAATCAAGAATGGGAAACGCTGCAGTATGCGACTGTGTATATTGTTTCGGAAGCGCGATGTGCTGGGTGTTGTGACCTTCCACCAGAGGATATTGCGGACTTTGGGTGCGTTGGGGTTCTTGGTCGCGCTGATCTCATCGAAGTCGCTGTCGCTGTCTGATTGCAGAAGGCGGTCTGTGGATTCGTTCGGTGTGTTGTCAAGATAACCGGTCCGCTGTGATGATCGACCGAAGATCTTGAAGTCTCGTTTCCGTGTCATGAACATGGCGAAGAAAAGGATACTGGCGACCATCTGCTCGCATGCCCCTGTCAGTATGCCATACTATGGGAACTCTGGTGTCGTTCAGGGTACGTACAACTGGTTCGCACCATCCTGGCAGCTTCCAAGCTGGTTTGCTGTTCCATTGGCCGTCGTCTGGTAGGGTAGAGTTTGCCATGTTGTGTCGCGTGCGTGCAAGTTCGGAGCTGTGTCGCCTAAGGGGTCTGCGGGATGCTGCTTGTTGATACTCGTGGAATAGAGTATGCTGCTCAAAATGGTCCAACGGGAGGTGCACTTGTCGGCTCTATTTTCTCCCGGGTACGCGCGGAGCCTGGTGGTCGGGCTCGAGGTATGTCGACAACACAGGTAAAGGAGTGACAGGAAACAAAAGAGGGGAAAGGGTTCAAGACCAAAAGTGGAGAGTGGAGGAGTGACCGCTTGCTTCACTCGATGCTTAGCGGACCTATGATGGTGCTTGCCTAGAAGTTCGCGTTGAAGCCCGGATTCTGGCAAAGGAGGTCAGACGTCCTGATCCAAGCGTGCGTATGCGTATCAAAGTCCCACTTTTTCACCTCTAGCGGCTTGGACCTGCGCAGCGGCGCGCAAGCCGCTGAGGCACAGGCTTCCACCCATCGTCTTTCTCTTTGGCCCATCTCCATCTGATGCACATGCCTCCGCCATTGTCGCTACCATCCGTTGCAGTGTCGCGTGCTCATCGCTGGCTGTGCACGCGACCACCGCTGAGGTTTGCTGGCGCCACTGGCATGCCACCGGTATAATCATACAGGCTTGGGGTAAGCGCAAGGCATTGTGACGTCAATTGCTCATTTCGTCGGGGCGCAGTTGAGCCGTACACCGTAGAGCAAAGAAAGGAAGCAGGAAGCGTCAAAGCAAGTGCTCGCCTAACACATGGCCTAACCCGGTTGGCTGCCCCCCAGATCTTATGACATGCAATTTCAACATGCCCATCCTCATACTGTGCTTACTACTGTACTCGGTGCCTCAACACTGCCACTCTTCTGCCTTGGCAGCTCAGCGGATTGGGGCGGATAGAACTCCTTGGTGTTGTGAGGATGCTGTCGCTACATTGCATCTCGGATTCGGATCATTACTCTTCCTCCGACCCACTGAGTAGCCGCGCCGGAGCCCCTGAGCGCAAGGAAACTTCAGCGAACATCTCGACAACGATGGGCAGTTTTCAAGCTATTGCTTGATCTTAGTAGAAGGGGCCTGAATTGAAGCGGATTTGCTTGGCGCGCAAAGGCGGTAAAGCGCCAACAATAAGCATTGTCTAAATTTGCCGGTCAATCTCCCTACCGAGGCCCGGGCAGCCACATTTCAGCCCTGGCGTTTTTTACGGGACCCTAGCACATATACGAGAAACACAACACACTGTCTCGACGTATGTGTTCACCGCGTTTCGCAAGGACATCCCCCTGACATGAGGCCGTTACCCGATCGCAAAATCTGTTGCGAAGACTGAATTGTAGTGACGTTCGGTTGCTACTCTTCCATTTCCAAGTCGGTAAGCGAATATTAGAACTACTGAAAGTCCCGAAGGCTCCGGCCGAGCATAGTTTGTATGAGAGTCGAAAAATAGGTCACAATATTTTCATCTCCGGTCATCTTCTGCTTTCAGTCGTTCCTTCAGGGTGCGTTCAGAAATATCTCTTGGGGAGGATACAGTAGAGATAGAGCTCATCAACAATTGACTTTCCGTCTTGAACGAATGAAGCTGACGCTCGCCGTCCGCTTGCGACGAATGGAAAATAAGCACGCGTGACATTCGCGCCACCAGCACTGTTGTATCAAAAGTCTCCAGTTTCTTGTCTACGCGTCGTCGGGAGTCATTGATGGACGTTTTCGGGCTTGCATCATTGCCTCTTCGATTGGATAGTTTGCTACATCATACCCCTAGTTTTCTTGGGCACTTCAGTGTATCGTACGATCCTGTCACTTACAAGAAAACGGAATGTTTATCAAGTCACAACTTTCATCTCGACCTCGGATCATGTCGTACCCGGAGCCTAGTGTGTCATGAAACCAAGAGACCTCCGACTGCAGATTCTGCAAACGCCCACTCAGTTGCGCGAACGTCCAAACAACTCCCTGATCATTTTGACATCATCTCGGCCTCCGATGGTCGTTGTGGCTTGGGCCTGAGGCTCATGGCTGCCATGATATCCGGGCACTACTCTGTATTGGGCCACTGAAACATTGCCCGCCTCACACCCCTAGCATGCATATATGTATCCCCGCCGAGGAAGCGAGCTTCAACACTGCAATACTCCTGCAGCCTGACCTGCTACATACTCTCCGACGGTTCCTGTCAGGCCAAGACTTTGACGAGCGGATCCACGCTTCGGTGCTTCTTTCTCGTCTTTCATGAATCTGATTGGTCTTTTCCGTGCTGCGCCTCATCGCGCACATGGATCTGGCCCGGTAACGTCTACGCCAAGCACTGTCAATGCTATCTAGACGGCGGAGAGACAGCTGTAAGTGTTCGAGAGAGGTGGGGGAACAGTGTCGTCGTCACCCTGCCTAGCCGCCTAGCCGCCTGAAGGCATCCTTGACAAGGCGAAAACGATGCCGGGAATCCATCAAACACCACCAAGTATGGAACTGCTCCAGATGATCTGTTTGCTTCTAGGGGTACGGCCTGAATCTTCTCCATGCCGTAAGAGCCGATCAAGGTACATATATCATGAAGTCCCGAATCTAACAAATTCTGCCCACTCTTCATCAAGTCGTCTTCAAACAACCACATTCTTTTCTCCAAAGTGCCGTGCACTAGTGTTTAATTTTATTGAGCTGAGCTCTTCATTCTCTCTTTTTTCCATTGTAATAACGAAGACTCAAGTTCCATTACTGTCCTTCTAGATCAACCCAAACACCCATAATGAAGACCATATACCCGCTTCTTACGCTCCTTTCGGCAGCTGCCGTCGCTGCCGGTCCTCTTCCTAGGAACGCAAAGCTGGCTGCTCGTATCAACATTGACGTTCCGTCCCGGGTTGTAGCGCGCACCGAACATCCGGGCGAGGCTGCGCCCGCCCCAGCAGTTGATCCGGCTAAGGCTGCCGCTGATGCTATGGAGTCAATGCATGTAGCTGAAGCAGAGGCCAAAGACAAAGCCCACCAGGAGGCCGCTGCAAAGATGGAGGCCGAGCATCAGGCAAAGGCCGAAGCAGAGGAGAAAGCACATCAGGAAGCGGCAGCAAAGATGGAAGCCGAGCACCAAGCCAAGGCAGAAGCAGAAGAAAAGGCTCATCAAGAGTCTGCCGCTGCTATGGAAGCCATGCACGTTGCCTCTGAGCAGGCCAAAGCTTCCGCTCACAAGGCCTCCGCAGATGCCATGGAGTCTATGCATGTTGCGTCGGAGAAGGCTAAGGATGCAGCCCATAAGTCCTCTGCAGACGCCATGGAAGCCATGCACGTTTCCAAGGAGTTAGCCAGTATCTCAGCAGCAGCCACTACCACCGAAGAAGTTGCAGCGACAACTACAGCCGAGGCCATCACTCACGAAACTGTTGCGCCAGAGACTACAACTATGGTCGAACAGACTGCGGCCCCCATGGTCACCCAACATTCCATGCCACCGCCTCCGCCTGCCGCTGAGATGCCTCCTCCACCGCCTGCTGCGGAGATGCCTCCTCCAGCTGAGATGCCCGCACACACAACTCAAGCAGCACCAGAACACACCATGCCTCCTCCACCTCCTCCTGCCGAGATGCCACCGCCAGCTGAGATGCCGGCTAAGGAGACGCAGGCGGCGCCAGAACACACTATGCCCCCTCCCGCTGCTGTCACTGTTGTTCCTGAAGCTCCTGCGGCTGGTAACATGTCCATGACCCACCCAGCACCACCAGCGCCTATGGTCACTGAGAGCTTTTCCTTAGTAATGGGCGAGGCCGCGAACTCGACCAAGCTGGTCGCTTCGTCCACTGCAAATGCTACTGCGCCTGCGGCCACCGAGACGCCCAACGCGGCTGAGGAGGAAAAGAAGAAGGCTGAGGAAGAGAAGAAGGCCGCTGAGGAGCAGGCCAAGCAACAAGAAGAAGCTGACAAGAAAGCAGCCGAAAAGGAGAAGAAGGCGCAAGAGGAAGCGGACAAGAAGGCCAAGGAAGAGGCTGACAAAGCTGCTAAGGAAGAGGAGAAGAAGGCCAAGGAGGAAGAAAAGAAGGCTGCTGAGGAACAGAAGAAAGCCGAGGAAGACGCTAAGAAGAAGGAAGAGGCTGACGCTAAAGCCGCTGAGGAAGAGAAGAAGAAGCAGGAAGAGGCTGACAAGAAAGCTACCGAGGACGAGAAGAAGCAGCAGGAGAAGGACAAGGCAGAGCAAGAGCAAGCTGGACAGCAAGACGGAGCTGAACAAGACGACAAGGAGGGTGACCAGCAAGACGAAGCTGAGGAAAGCGACGACGAGGGCGAAGCAGACCAGCAGGACGACGCTGCTAAAGCGGAGCCAGTCCCTGCTGAAGAGCAGAATGGCCAGTCTGCAGCACCCGCGGTACCAGCCCCTGCTTCTGGCGACGCTGTCGTCGAGTACCCAGCTGGGTTCCTCACCTCTTCCGCTCGCCGGCGCGCTGAGATGGCTAACATGCCTATGAAGCGTGGTATGAGGGTCGTCGCCTTCTAATCCATACGAGAAGCTGAATGTTCAAGATCTTGAGATTTAGTTAGAGGCGCGCATCTGGACATGCACAAGATTTAGAAGATGTTTGAGTATGTAGTGTTTTGAGTAGATATGAGTAATTACAATGAGAAAAGTCACTACTACCTAAATGAGATATTGCTCTGTAGCTTAGATATTCACTAATAAAGTAGTAGTATTTATCTCCAGGAACAATTGTTGGAAGTACAACCCATAGGAAAGTTCCTCATGACGCCGGAGTAGAGGCTAAGAAAGGACTAGCTTCTCCCACTTCTTCTTCCCCTTCAATGACTTTCCGCTTTTCTGCTGAGTGCTTGGTGTCTTACCTACACCAGTCGCATACGTCTGCTTGGTGTCACTTGCCTTAACTTCAGTCTTGCTAGCCTCAGTCTTGCCTCTGAACGCAGCAGTAGCCATGCTGCTGCTTTTGATGTTGGCCATGCTCGTCTTATGCGGCCTTGACAAGGCTGGAAATGCGTGATCTTGGCTTGCCCTTGCCTGTGCTGAAGCAGGTGTTGTCGTGGAACGAATCTCGGCCCATACACTTTTCGGTGGAAGAAATTGAGGGCATATTGAAACTAGTAGGTGGTGACTGTAGCTTTGTGTGGTCTCCTGAGGCGTTGACTGCGCTTATTGAAATTGAGGTCGAGACACTCGTCACTTGACCACCACTAGTATCATCTTCATTACTCTTTGAAACAGCTGACACATCGCTCTCCTGATCATCAGATTGCCCTTGCCAGTTGTGAGGCTTTACGAATTCCCATAGATTTACTGAAGGGGGCAGGCGCGATCGTTTTGATCGTCTTGGGACATGTGGCGGTGAAGCTTGCGACGGATCGACCCATGAACGTCCTACTTGAGAGGCCAGGTCTTTAGGAGGCTGCTTTTGTGCCGCTTGTAGCAACCGGTTCCTTACTCTAGGGTCTGGATGAGTTGACGCCATGTCTCGAGCAGACTCCCCTTGCCCAGATGCATCGGGGTTTGCACCTTGCGCTAGCAGCGTCTCGACGATTTGGTAGACCTCTTGATGCAGCTCCCTCTTACGAATCTCGCCTCTGCAGGTATCATATGAGATAATGTTGTATAGCGCCGAATCAAGGTAGCCCGTCTGTTCCATTTGGAGCTGTGTTTTCAATTGAGCGAGATAATCGACAACCTTGACGAGCTTTGCGGCTACAGCTAGTTCCATGATAGCTGCAATATAACCTTCCTGGTGCCACTCGGTTGATGTCACAGACGGCAACCGCCGTAGGATGACATGCTCGTATTTCCTAACCAGTTCTGACGGAAGTGATCGGAAATCTCCTTCAGAAGCCACCCGAAAGAGCTCCTTTGTGACGGAATCACTGGGCTCATTGACGGAATCCAGAGCTTGCAAAAGCCGTAATACAATATGCTCGTGTCGCTCGGTTATGGTTACAGAAAGTATTTGAAGGCTGTCCTGAACGACCGGGCTCGCGCCAGCTTGCAGGAGCAGTTGTACCAGACCTTCGTGACCGTGATATGCTGCATGTAGAAGTGGCGTAGATACAAGTGTGCGTAACTTTTTCTCGTAACAACACACAATATTGCGTGCAGAGATTGCGTGGACGTCTGCACCAAAATGCAGGAGCAGTTTGGCCATCTCTACGTCACCATGCGATGTAGCGATTGATAAAGGCGAAAATGTCAAGCACACCTCGCTAAAGCACACGCAGTGCATAGAACACTGAGGACTGTAGAATCTGAGCCTCGGTTCGTGATAAATACGTGCTTCCACATCCGCGCCCCTCTGCAATAGTCTTTTTACCATCCCTATCCTTCTCTTGTCAAGAGCAGATTTCATCAGCCTGACACTCCGCGTGCGTACCTCCTCGCGCAGGATGGCGTCCATAACAAGAGGATAGAACCGATGGCTTGCTTGTGCGAGTTGGCTTAGATATATATTTCCCCCATTTCCCGGATCTCCCAGATATCCTGGATACGCAAGGTTTCCCAGATGCGCAAAGTTCCCCAGATACGCAACGATTCTCAGTACGATATCGTCTGGTAGAGCGGCGAGTCTGCTGACATGTGTTCGAGAATAGTCGAGGGCGAAGTCGAGAAGGCGGTGGTTGACTTGACTGAGGCGCCGGAGGTAGGCAGGGCCGAGCAATGCAGCAAGCTCGAGAAGAAGCTCATTTGGGAGCTTGAATAGTCCTTGTGATACGTTCGCCATGTTGTAGTTATGGGTCCGTCTATGGAGTCAGGGAAAGTGGAATCGTACGTCTCGGGAACCAGTTCAGAGATGGTCACGTCAGTTGCTTATAGTACCGTGTACACGAGTCGTCTGAATGTGTGCAACGATGGAATCGTAAGATCCATTAAATGGGAGAGAAAGACTTGCTGACGCGATCGCGATATGGTCTGTGCACAAGAGTAACTTCCCCTACAGCTGGTGCCTATACAGCCTGCATCAGTGCGTTCTGATTAGATCAATGGCCGCACTACATACAAGGGAAAGAATGAACAGTATGGAAATGATAAGCTCTACCTTGCAGCTCCTAACAGAAGAACTTATAAAGATAAACAGCATTGTAGACTTCTAGATCTTCTATCCACGCCTACATACCTCTTGATACGCTTTATTGTAGTAGGACGGAGTACTACCTAGGTATGGTCTGAAGAGATGTTCAGTTTCTCTCTTTGATGTAGTGGCTGTACTACTCACTCACTTATCATTGTTGTGACTTCTTATAACTTTCGAGCTTAGGCTTGAGTCTCGATGTGCTTTATCGCCACAGACATTAGTACTAGACTGGACTCATGCTTGCATGTGGAGAGTGATCAGAATCAAGAGGTAAATGCAATGTGATTCTCCGAAATGCCCATCCATACCATGCTACCAAATGCTAAAGTCGACCTGGTATCCCCGCTCTTAAACAATCCAACTTGCACAAAAACGCCTAAAATGGGAGATGTTCACAACCTGTCTTTACTGCAAATTTCCAAACAAACCCCAGATCGTCCATCATGAAATGAATCACGACACAACCACACAGATTAACGCCAACCAATCCAAAACATGAACGCTTGCTCAGATATGAACACCCACAAAACGCTAAAAGAAAGCCTAAAAGAAGGAGTTGAGAATGAATGAACAGACACATACAGAGACATTAAAATGATACTAAACTTGGTATGAAGACAGATAAAATGAATGGCAAAGTAGTTAAACGGTGTGACTTGATGAATGGAAAGGAGTAACGAATGAACGCTCTCAATGTCAAACTTTTGGTCCTTGCGAACCGAGACCTAAGTCTTCTTCTTCTGCTTCTCATGTTCGCGCATGGAAAAATCGATGGAGTGCTTAAAAGGAAATGGACTGAGAGAGGTAGGCAGAGAGATCGTTCGATGCGCGATGTTTGTCATCTTCGTCACCGTCGGACTCTTCTGCTGGTGACATGTAGTCATCGAGGAAGGGGTCGTGTTGTGAAGCCTTTCGTGGCAGCTTATCCTTAGATGATGAGCCGACAGTGCTTGTTTTCTTAGATGCTTTCTTCGAAATGTGTTTGGCTTCGGCTGAAACAACATCCATGGAATCCACGGGTTTTGGACCTGTGTTTGAAGAGACTGGAGTACGACTACTGGCTGGTCGGATGGTGGTGTTCGAGTTCTTCTCTTCCAAAGCTTTGTCTTGAACATCTTCAACCTTCAGTACATTTGACGGTCCAACACTGGGTATTGGTGGAGGCGGCATCGATGTGCGCGCCTCTTTCTGCTTCTCTTTCTTCTGCGGCGATGCTGGGATGGTAAATATCGGTATGGGCTCTGGCTTAATCTCTAGCTCAGCTCCACGGACACCATCGCCAAATACTGGGCCACTTTTCTCATCCCATAGCCGCTCGTCGATTCTTGCCTCGTCTTCACTGGAGAAGTTTAGGTCTTTGATGCTTTCAATGCTTTGGCGCATGCGCTCGCTTTCGAACGATCTCCGCTCAGGCTCGCCAAAGCCAGAATCTTGATGCAGTGGCATACGGTATCCTTGTGCGACTGAGAAACCCGTTCCAGTTCTCCGCGAGGCTTCCGGACGGTCGAAGACGGAGAAACCAGTGCTGACCCGTGATGGGGGTGCAGTGTTGGAAGCGGAAGAGTCCATGGCAACGTCGTACTCCAGGTTGGCGAGCACGGCAGAATCAGGTATATGAAACTGCCGGCCCTCGTAGTAGTCTGGCGTAGCATCTAGCTCCGAGGGGGTGTGATCTGGTGGTCCTTGTGATAGCTCATGCACTCGACTGCTAAAGGAAGTCTTGTTTCCAATCTCTCGGTCACGGCCGCGGTCAGACGATTCTTGTAGACTGCTTTCCATGGAATGTGGCTCAGTTGGCTGGAGCCCACTGACAAAGGAGACCCTTAGAGGAGTGTCTTCGGCTGATCTGCTACCTAGAAATGAATTCTCCATCTCACTCGGTGGACCGGTGAGGTGTATATCTTTCGGCTCCTGTGTGGTAAAGTCGTGGACGTCAAGGTCGGCGCATCCCCTTTGGACAAGTTTGGTATCACCATCGATGTAAATTTGCTCCCATCTCGTCTCTCGACTGGCTGGTAGACTTGCAAGCTCATTCTCAAGTTCTGAGTCGTCGAGCGACATGACGGAACGGTGAGCAGGGTAAGGCGAGTATTCACTCCGTCCAGTCCTGTTGCCAATGCTCAAAGGGCCAGGGGAGCGTCCACGATCTGAGCCGTTGTTGGGAATGATATATGAGCCAGAAGATGCGGGATACTCTGTACGGGGCACATGAATCTCCTCGAACGACGACTGCTGCCGTGAGTGGCGGCGGTGTTTCGATATGTCCTCGAGATCAACTGCCGTCCTGGGGTCGATATACTCCTTGTCGCTCCTGTGCGTAGAGGCGCTGTTTCTGATAGCAGCCTTGGGCTTAAAATCTCTATCTAGTACATCCTCTGGGAACCGTTTGAGAAGGTTTGCTGCTGATGGTCTCGCTCGGGGCGAGTCACTAAGGCAGGCTCTGATGATGTCGCGAAAATACACTGGAACATCGGTGTTTGGCCGATCGAGTGTGCGGGTCAGTGGCTTTTGCTGGCGCTCCGGCTCGTCTTGCTGTTCTGCTAGCGCCCACAGCACCATACCGAGTTGGTAGAGATCCGACTTAACACCAATATATATCGATATTCGTTGTCCGCTTTCGATAAGCTTGGCTAGCTCAGGTGGTTCCCAGCCGACAGGGCAGCCGCGACGGTTGATATCAATGATTTTCGCATTGTCGTCGTTGTCTATGACGATGTTGGAGAGTGTAAAGTCGCCTTGTACAAAGCCGGCTTCGTGGATCTCGGATAAACCTTCGATGATCTGTCGTGCCCATCGTTCACGTCGCTCCCAGTAAAGTTGGCCTGTTGGCTTGAAGTCATAGATCATATCCACCAACGCGCCTTGCTCAGCATAGCTGATTAGCAGGCCTTTAATAAGCTCGTTCTGCTCGTCAACTATCACACCTTCGAATCTGATGACGCATTTGGATTCTTGCACGCTGATCAAAGCATTGATCTCGTACAGAAACTCTTCGACTGCATCTGGGCCGGGAATCTCCTTCTTGATGTATGTCCTGTTATTGACCGAGACTTTGTACACGAAGCCTGAGATGTGAGAGTCGAAGGTGACTGCGTTCTCCCGGAAGCGCTTGCAGTCTAGGTGCTCGATTGCTGACGTGGATGGGTACGGAATGATCTCATTAATATCCTCAGTAACGTGCACATGGAGTTGACCATCCGTTGTTTCGAGCTTGAGATTCGTGACAGTATCGTAAAATTGAATGCTCGCCAAGGAGTCACGGATCGCTTCGTAGATTCGGGAGCTCTTATCGCGCTGGTAGTGCAGCGTCTTGAGATCAGACTCGAGTGAGTCGGGCTCTAGGTGTCTGTAGTCGCACGATACTGTAACTCTCCTCCATTTGTTTGGCTGCTCGGCGAATGTGACGAAGAACTTTTCGCGATCCGACATGTCTCGGAAGTGCATGCTGAGGTTCAGGATCCACTTGGCCTCGAGCTCCTCCTGTAACTGTATATCGTCAATGTCCGAGCCTGAGCGATGCGAGCCGTGTTCCGAGAAAGCATCGGCTACCTCCATTGGCGGCAGGGGCGGGGGCGGCGGCCTCCCTACTGGAGGCGGCCCCTCGACGGTGGACATTTCGCCGGCAGACATGTAGTCTTCAGGTTCTTCTATGCCGTAATCCACCTGCCGTGCGCCTGCGGGTATGTTGGAGTCGGGTCCTCCGCCAATTGTGCGTTCCCCGCGTTTTATATCTGCAAATGACTCAGCCGCTCTCAACGATGCCGCTCGCAGTGAGTCGGCCTCTCGCAATGACTCGACTTGGAATGATTTGACTCCTCGCAATGAATCCATCTCCCGCAATGACTCCTTCTCCTTCTCACTGTTGCTCTCATTCGGACTCAGGACGTCAGGGGCAGACATGGAAGGCATGGACATTGGAGGCGGCGAGGGGTTTCGTTTCGAGGGGACGGAGCTCTTGCGGTCTTCCGAGACAGCTCTTCGTGGTTCGGTCTCGGGTACCTCGAGCAGATTGTCTCTCTTCTCGCTCTGCATGCGCTTAAAGGTCAGGGGTCTAGGCAGCCCTGGGATGACCTTCTTGCTGCCTCTCCTCCCCAGCAGCCCACCACTCGAGTGCGGCCTCTTCATCTCCTTCTTCTCCTCCTTGTTCTCTTTATTGGCACCAGCCGCCTGCTTGGCAAACTTGGTGGGCGAGGGCGGCGGAGTGTGCTCGTCCTTCTTCAGCCAGGAGCCGATCTTCTGGAAGTTGAGGCGGTCCCACATGCTCCTGTGCTCGGCCACTTCGGTGCGCGCACGCTGCCGGCTGGCACTCCTGCTCGTGTCGCCATTGTCGGCTGATAGCAGCGGCATCTTCTGGTAGTCAGGCTCGGCTCTCCCAGCCTTCTTAACCCCCTCGGCCAGCCTTCACGGTGCGAGGAAGGAGCAACGCAGGCAGGCGTGAGGTGAGCTGCCGTGTGGTTGCGCTGCGGGGGGAGGTCCCTTGTCGGATATGGATGGATTGGATTGATGCTATCGATTTGGCGCCGGCTGCATGCTGTGTCGCGGTCGTGTGTAACTGTGGCTTCCGACGTCCATGGATCTAGTTCATGCTCCGTGCCACTCTACTTCCCTCGCAGATTTCGACGGCTGCAAATTCTGCACGACAATCTCAGTGGTAATGACGAAAGTACCGTCTGTGTCTAATGTTGACGCCCAAGCGACATGCGCAGCTGTTGGCGCCTAACCCTAATGACAGACAAACGGACCGTGGTTGGCGAGCAGCGACGCTGCTGATGATGAGGCTCAGCGGCGGAGCAGGCAGTAGTAGGGCGACTTGGGGCAGGCTGACGTCCGGATGCGAGTGGAGGCGGGCGAGGGCGGCGGCGACGACGACGCGATGCAATGTGCGATGATGAGTCGTCCCAAGTAAGATGGGATGGATGCGACTGAGGCTGGGGCCGTCGGACCAATCAGCTCAGCTAAGGCACAAGTCCCCAGGCGGGCGAACGGTCGAACACGGCGTTAGCGTATTCCAAGTAAAATGCAGCAAATCAAATATTCCAGAGGCGAGGCGTCGGCACCTCACACACCCCTAAAGCCTTCGGTCCCAAGTCTCATGAGCAAAAGAGAAGCGGGGAAGGGAGACAAGAAAGAATAATATTCAGAGAGAACAAATTTTGCGCTGTGCAGCTGCCCCCTATGTTAGGCCATGTATCTTCTGTACAGCTGGCGGTCAAGCGCCAACACCACATTGGACAGAAAAGGCCCTCTGCCTGCAGCATCCGCAGCAGCAAAAACCCGAATCTGGTCCCTCGATCGTCAAATCAGGCACGAGTGCGCCCTGGGTCCCGCCGTGACATACCACCGATGACATACTGATTGGTTCCTGCTCGCGTGTGACAGCCACTCTAACAACCTGCGGTGAGAGTCACACACATCTCACCGTCGCATCTTGCTCTACTGCGTCGTCAACCACCCTTCCCTCCTTCTCCCTCCTCAACCCTGGAAAAAACCAGTATATTAAACCCAGCTGTTGGTCGCTTTGCTCACCCTAGCTCAACCGTCGCCCCTCATCAATTCTTCAAATCACGATATGAGCAAAACCCCTCATTTGGGCCTGCATACATTAGTCCACGCGTAGACGAGGGCAGCTACTGCACCTCATGGTACTTGCGGGAAGGTACTCCGTCGTCGCAATGAGTACACGAACTGCCCCACTCAACCTGTCGCACAGAGTCCGTTCCGGCAAGCTTCGAGTAAAGCTGCTCCTGCACGTCGGAGGGATGTCGCTCGCTAATGTATCTCGATCCTTCACTTGCGTTGTGGTTCCGCCTCAGTTCCCAACAATTTGTAGACAGCCATGGCGAAGCATCGAGGCATTGACAAAGGACCTACACCGTGATATACGCCTCACCCAGCCCCTTGCGCCTCTAAACACTTTTTCCCCAGCCCTGTTACAAGTTCTCTCATTCACTTCACCGGAGCGCGCGATGCCGCCGCACCATAGCCTCCCCAAGACGCCGACTTCGACAATCTGGACCAAAAACAAAAGTGAAGCTTCCACCGCAAAAAAGTCTGACGACGACTTCAGCTTGCTCTCAACCCCTGACTATGATTCGTTCCCTCCAGTTCGCAGTATGCGTTGTCCCTTCTTCGTACTACATATACAAGGCGCCCGTTGACACGTCAATGTGGTTCATGCACCAGACGAAGGAGTCGAGGGCTAACGCACAAGAGCTGCGCGTAAGGCGCTGAAACACAACCACATGCACTACCAACAGACGCCGCTGAAGCGTTGGCATATTCTCCTGTTCTTCTTTAGCCCCATCGTTTTGCATGTGGCTTCAGACATGTGGCAGTTGCGTCACAGACTGTATAATGTTACGGTGATATGCACTGCAGTGCGCTAAGCATATCGCGGCATTCTTGAAATTCATCTTCTAGGCCAAGGAGACTCGATTGATAATGATTACATGGTGTAACCGTCACGAGAACTCCCGTTGCAGATACGCGCAGTATTCCACGATCCCCCTGCCACGCGTGGTGGGGTTCATGCACGAAAGGTACGGAAACCTACGAGGGGTTGGGAAAACACATCATCGGTACGTACCTGAGACACTGCCAGCGAACGGTCGAGACCCTGAATATGTAGCTTAAACGATGCTAGTGTCGTTAGAAATTTTGCGTACCACGGCAGTTGAACGTGAAAATAATTTTGTATCAAAGCCAGCGTAAGTGACACGAGTAGTTAGGTACGGACCGTCCCGCTGTCAGGATTTTGGAAAGCGGAAGAGCATAGAAGGGATCATGCTGGATATGCTTCCTTCTTACCCGCTCACATATCGTGACCATCTATCACTTCGCTCATCTTTCGATGCTGGACCGCACATTGAGAAGAGAGAATTGTTATCATTCATTATCAATGCAGTTCAATCGTAATGGCGCTTTGGCCAATGCTTATGCAAAAAACGCCCTTAATGCGTTGCGCTGCTGAGCTCGCTGTTCGCTATATCTTACACATATCCTGTCCTAGAGGCGAATCGCTCAGTCGTCGTCCTCACCAGACTCTTCCTCTTCCTCTTCCTCTTCCTTCTTCTTCTGCTCACGCTTCTTGCGGTCGCCCTTCTTAGACTTAAGTTCCTTCTCCCACATCTTGTTTGCGGCGTCTTTGTCGAGGTCTGGGAAGACAATGTCGAAGACTTCCTTGTACCATTGCACAGGACGACCTTCTATGCCTTCTTTGATGTTCTGCGATGTGTCAGCAAATGCACTGTTCGTCATTCGAAGTGGGAAAACATACCTCGGGCAGCTCGAGCCAGTCGCTCATGTTGTCGTGTGGGAAGATGACCGTCTTTGCGCCTGCTCTCCGTGCAGCAACAGTCTTTTCGCGTAATCCACCAATTCTCAGCACCTTACCAGTAAGAGTCAGCTCACCAGTCATGGCGACATCGTCCCTGATCTTCTTATCAAGTGCCAAACTGAGCATGCTGGTCGCCATGGTGATACCGGCGCTTGGTCCGTCCTTTGGTGTACCGCCTTCGGGGCAGTGGAGATGTATTCTGGCGTGCTCGAAGAATTTGTTCTTGGGGAATTCGCGGGCAAGAATGCTCTTGGCGAACGAGTACGCTACGCTCGTCGACTCCTTCATGACGTCTCGAAGAGATCCACTGCGCTCAAGACCAGGTGTTGATGATGCTGAGAGTGCGTTCTGAAGGATAGACTCGATGTAAAGGGCTGAGCCACCCATTGATGTCCACGCTAGACCCATAGCAACACCAGGTGGCGTGAAGTCGTAGAGGCGATCTGAAGTGAAGATAGCTGGTCCGACGTAGTCCTTCAGATTGTCCTTGGTGATGGAAACGTGAACAGAGTCTGGAATCTTGAGCGCGACGCGCGGCTTCTCCGTTGTCTGTTCTTCGATGTTCTCTGGAGTTTCTTTGAGATCGCTCTTGTCCTTCTCCGATTCCTTTTGCGCAGCCTTGCCCTCTTCAGTAAGCGCTGCAGCTTCTGGGAGTGCGTCTTCGCCTACATCGGTGACAATCTTCAGCGCTGACTTGCGGTATACCTTTTCGATATGCTTCTTAAGGTTTCGGACACCAGACTCGCGACAGTACTTGTTGATGAGTTCAACAATCGCGTCGTTCTCGAGAACGACATCAGCGTCCTTCAGTCCGCTCATCTCCTTCGCTGCGGGTGACAGGTACTTCTCAGCAATTGCAATCTTCTCGTCTGAAACATAGCCGGATAGTCGGATCACCTCCATACGGTCGAGTAGTGGCTGCGGGATCGTCTCATCCATGTTTGCTGTGCATACGAACAGAACCTTTGACAGATCGACAGGTACATCGAGGTAATGGTCCAAGAAACTGTTGTTCTGCTCTGGGTCGAGCAGCTCGAGCAGAGCTGATGCTGGGTCACCGTGGTTGCTATTGCGTCCGATCTTGTCGACTTCATCGATCAACACCAGCGGGTTCTCAGTTTGACATTTCTTGAGAGCTTGGATGATACGTCCGGGTAGCGCACCAACGTACGTCCTCCGGTGACCCTTGATCTCTGCTACGTCGTACATACCACCGACACTGAAGCGGTAGTACTGGCGGTTCAGAGCACGAGCAATGGACTTTCCGATCGACGTCTTACCCACACCTGGTGGACCAACCAAACAAAGGATCTTTCCTTCAACTGTGCCGCGCAGTTTTCCGACGGCGATGAACTCTAGAATGCGGTCCTTGACGTCCTTCAGACCGTGGTGATCCTCGTCCAAGACTTCTCGCGCATGCTGGATACCGAAGTTCTCCGCGCTACGCAGACCCCAGGGTAGCTGTGTGAGCCAGTCGAGGTAGTTGCGGGTGACGTTGAACTCTGATCCGTTTGGCTCCAGACCCTGCAGCTTGCTCATCTCCTCTTCGAAGACCTTGCGCACGGCTTCAGGCATGGCAAGCTTGTTGGCCTTCTCGTTGAATTTCTCAATCAACTTGTCCTTGCCATCCGATTCGATACCAAGCTCTCGCTTGATGCCTTTCATCTGCTCCATCAACATGTACTCGCGGTGCTTCTTTGTGACCCTGGCATTGACATCGTCGGCAACCTTCTTTTGCAATTCAGCGCTGATGAGTTCCTTCTTGAGTACTTCCAACGCCTTGCTAAGACGCTTCTCGATATCCATCTCTTCAAGCGCGTCCTGGAGTTCGTGTGACTCAGCCTGTGCAACTGCAGCTGCGAAGTCAGCAAGCTTGACGGGATCTTCGCCAACGTTCATGGTAGTATGAACGGAGAAGGTCGACACATGATCGCGGAACAGCGGGTTGAGCAGTGCGACGCCCTTGAATGTGTTGACAATCTCGTTGACCAAAACCTGGATTGTCTTGTTGGTCTTCAAATCGAATGGCTCCTCAACCATGTTCTCAACATCGGCAATGCTGACGTTGCGACCCTTGAGGATGGTGGGTACCAACGCTCCCTGAGCTGCCTTGGCCTCCTCTGTTGCCTCCTCAAAGCTAGCAACAACATCTCCCTTGTTCTGCGGGGCAGCTGCCTCAGGCTCTGGGGTATCCACATTCTCTTCCAGAGTGCTTTCAGCCACCGATGACTCCTCCTTGGCTTGTGGTGGCGACTTGAGCCCAGTCATCTTGATGCGGCGGTGTGGGTAGAGGACGCATGTCATGGCAAAGTTGTCATCGCCGCCTACAGGGAATGCGCTCGTGACTTGGCAAAAGGTTCCCACGTCGTATACCTCGCTGGGATCATGAATGACATCCTTGTCGGCAGTATCGTCCTTGAACATAAAGGCACCAATGTAAGGCTGTCCTCGCTTGACCATGTCCGCAATCGCTTGTCCAACCTCCCTATCTCTGATGGTGATAGCCTTATAAAATCCGGGGAATAGAGGGCGCTTGACGAGCGGTATTGCCATGACTTGAGGGTAGACATCGGGTATCGAGGGCTTGACGAGCGCTCTGTCGTTGCCCTTCCGTTTCTTGCCACCGCCATCACCGCCCGAACCACTTCCTCCTGCTGCGCTGCCTCGTCCAGAACTCGCTCGTGGGGGTATTGGCTCAGGCGCATCACTCTTGCCCTCGAGCTCTTCTGCTCTTTGCTGCTCCTTCAGCTTCTTGGACTCTTCTGTTTCTTCCTCCTTCGTTTCCTCTAGCGGCTCCGGTGGCGCCTTCGAATCGTCTTCCTTTCGTCTACTCAAAGATGTGGAGAAGCTGCGGTATGCGAAGAGTGCCGCGGGCGGCGAGGAGCATCGTGCGTGTTGTCTCGCGACCAGCGATGCTGTGCATTGGGCAGGGAGATGTCGCGATGATGCTCTGGTAGTGATATTCCTAGCATTTGAGCGCGAAGCCTGGCGAAGGGCTGCCCGCCACGGCAAGCTCTGGCTCTGGAACATGACGATGGGACGTTATGCGGGCGTAGATAAAGGTAATACTATACAAAGAATGAAAAGAATGCACGCAGAATCACGTAGCACCCGTGTATTACCCACAAAGTATAATAAGGAGTTTGTGCGATGTACAATGAAGAATGACAGGTTGTAGTGGCGGCGTATGAATTGCTCAGCGACTTCCGAATCTCGACATCATCACCGCCCAAGCTCCTCCGATAGCCCCGATGGCAAAACCTCGGCAACACGCGACACTGCCATTCCCCCTTCCAAATACCATCGATCTCTCAATCGCCCACCCGTTCTGACATCAACATCAATCTGAATCCCTTCTCTAAAGTTGTTCTTTTTATCCTGCGCGCCCTCATTCATTGTGCCACACTTGGTAAAATTCCGACGTCGGCTTCTTCTCACGCTCGTCCGTCTACATTTCCAATCTAGTAGAACATGATCGAATCCAATAGAAAACAGCGAAGAACGCCCGCCCAGGGTTGCTTACCAAGTACAATATATACGCGACTAATACATCTACTACCGCAATCGTGCTAGGGCCATTGGTAGAGACATGTCTGTCCGTGTCGTCTGTTGACCTGAGTAACCGATTCGAGTATCGCGCGTGCATGCGTTATACATTGTCTTGTAGACGTGCACGCCGAACACCGACTTGCTCAAGTCTTGGCCCGCGACGAAGCTCAATGCACTAGAGGGATGCCAGCCCCAGGAAGCTTTGATTGTGGCCACACGCGTGGGCCATTGAGGCCTGGTACCGATCCAAATCGTCGCGAAACCCATCGCGTGCTCACGTGAGGGCACACGAGAGCATTTTTCGAAGCCATGCCTTCGCGTATTTGCTGCACTAACACGCGTATATGTCAACAAGATTCAAGCATCGGTTCGTCTTGGGCTATCTCGCTCATGAGATACTCTGAACTAGCGCCAAGATCGTCACGGGTTGTGCTGCCGATAGCAATACGGAAAAGTCTGATAGTATCGAACGCTGCGTCTGAAAGATTGCATTACAGCTCCATGTCGACTATATAAAACTGAATGGCTGGCATGATGTCACAGTTCGTATACCAAGACGGCGTTGCTCCTGGGCCATCATGTGCGATCTCGCCGAGATGGCGGCGACCAAAAAGCAGAACAACCGGTCTATCCGCAATTGGTAATCAACGATGGAGCGACAATTGGGATAGAAGATCCGCTAGTCTTCTCTTGGCTTTTCCAAACCTTGCGTCAGTTAGTGGACGATCTTCCCACGCCAATGGTAAGTTTCAAGGTATGGTCACGCTAACGTCATTGTGTTCCACTGATTTCAACGGTATGGGGTCCGGTCCGATGGCGAACGCTGTCACACGGTCAGCAAACGGTAACTACTGTGCTATGATATCACTTTTCATGTTCATCATACTGTTCTACTTTGCTGATGCAACAGCCTTCAGTTCACTTCAACCACGTCTCGAACTTCGTCTGCTCTATGGTCTACTAGCGTTTTAGCAGCGAATCATACATCATGTCAAATCCCTCATCACTCCATGAAGACAAAGGTATGGTATGTCCGCAATTGATCTGCAAACGCCTTTGCTAACGTTCCTCAGATAGTGCATCTTTACCCCAGCGTAAGAGGGAAGCGCCAACGCGAATGAAAGATGGAAAGGAGGTTGAGCTCCACACGTGGAATGGCCCTCAAGACCCCGATAACCCGTACGTGCATCATCTCATGGCGTGAATCAAGCGCTGACCAAAATCAGGTTCAATTGGTCTGCCAAGTACAAATGGTTCTTGACAATTACGGTTTGCTTTATCTCCATCTTGACAGGTCTCCCCGCTGGATCCTATGGTGCTGGTAACGAATGGATGGCAACTCGCTTCAGCGTTCAAAATGAACCTTTTCCGAATCTCTATTGGGCAACGTGCAGCTGGAACATGGGTGCTGCTCTTTTCCCACTTCTGTTCGTACCTTTGACCGAGAACACTGGCCGTATGCCCGGCTACTTCGTAAGTTACTGCATTGACCATAGACAACAAGCCATTCTAACAAACTGGAAGGTTGCGTACATCGTTTTCGAGTTGTTTTTGTTCGGCTCTGCCTTTGCTGACAACTTTGCAACGCTCGTTGTTACCCGATTTTTCGGCGGTGGTGCATCCTCGGTTTCCATCAACATTGTTGGTGGTAGCATCAGTGATGTATGGAAAGGTGACAAGGCTCGAAGTCTGCCAATGTCCATCTTTGGGTTCACGTCTGTCGCTGGTATCGCTCTCGGGCCGTTTATTGGTAGTGCAATTGTGCAGATTGGCTATCCGTCTACTGGACTGCAATCTCCATGGCGCTGGTGTGTATCTCCCCGTACTTGACTTACATCGCTGACACAGGTATAGGATCTACTATATTCAAATCATCTACAATGCCGCGCTCATTCCCGTCTTCTACATCATCCTCAAGGAGACCCGTGGCGACGTCATCCTGAAGAAGCGCGCTCAGAAGATTCGCAAAGACACAGGCCGTGAAGTCTATGCGGAATCCGAGCTCGACAAGCCTTCGATAGCCAGCCTACTCAAGGTCTCCTTCATGCGACCCACAAAGATGCTGCTCACCGAGCCCGTCGTTACTTTCTTCACGCTATGGATTAGTTTCGCCTGGGGTATTCTGTTCCTGTTCTTTTCCTCGGTAGTACAAACTTTTAGTGCAAGCTACGGTTTTGGCACCTTTCAGACTGGTAAGAACTGCCCATGCACGAACTGCATGTGAAACATATACTGACTCCGTACACGTACCTTCTAGGTATGATTCAACTAGCCATCACTGTCGGAGCGCTCATTGGCACACTCATCAATCCAATACAGGATTGGCTGTATCTTCGAACTGCATCCAAGAACCAAGAACGTCCTGGGAAGCCCATCCCGGAGGGCCGTTTGTACACCAGTATCCCTGGCTCGCTGCTCTTTACTGCTGGTCTGTTCTTATATGGATGGACATGCAGACCCTCTATTCACTGGATTGTGCCTGCGATAGGAATCTGTATAGTGGGTGTAGGCATCTACTCGATTTACATGGGAGTAGTCAACTATCTCACCGATGCTTACGAAAAGTACGCTGCTTCTGCGCTTTCCGCCGCATCTCTTGGCCGTAATTTGTTCGGCGCCTTTCTACCTCTGGCTTCCTACTCGCTTTTCCAGAACCTCGGTTTCGGCTGGGCAGGCAGTTTACTTGGCTTTGTTGGATTGGCACTGAGTCTGGTGCCGGTGGTACTCCTGATAAAAGGCCGTCAGATCCGGGCAAAGAGTCCGTTCATGTCCGAAGCTATGTTTGACGATGGCGACGATGACGAAGAGGCGGAAGGCAAGAAAGCTAGTCATAGTCATCGGGGTACTTTTGGACCAGCGGGTGTTGCTGGCGGACCGCCCGGTGGAGTGGACGATGCTGTTTAGAGCACAACACGAGCGATGTAAGAGAGGTCGCAACGTTTCAAGCAATCTTTGTTTATGGGTTGAGCTTTGGATCTGTGCAAAATATGGAAGTTGCTAACATAATTACCGAGACGATAAGATCAGGTCATGAGAATACAATAAAAAACGACAGAGGGCCGTGCCAGCAGAATACCTAAAAGTGAGAAGGCCTCAAGCCTTCACCATACCGACGGTCTTCGTCGAGACGATCTTAGCTGGCGTCTGCAACAACGTCTGTTCATTTCCATCATCCGATCCTTCATCACCAGATTCGTCGTCCGATGTACCAGCATCAGAAACTTCGTCGTTGGAGACTTCAGACTCGGAAGGCTCATCTTCTGAATGTTCGTCCTCTGAGTGGTCGTCTTCCGAGTGGCCGTCATCAGAGTGCGCATCCTCGTAAGCATCGTGATCACCGTCCTTCTCCACCCCAGCCTCGCTTTCGTTCACCGACTCCACCGTCTTCTCCCCCGCACCGCCACGCATTCTCACCGCATCCTCATCCTGTCCGTTTCGATGTCTCCAGTCTTTATCTTCATCGTCTGGCTCTGACATCTCCTCTGGCTCAGCCGCGAACACCATGACTCCACCTCTCAGCCCCGGTCCGGCATGCTCCCCGAACAGCATCAAATCCGCAGAATCGCTCTCCGTCTTCTTTTCCGAAGATGAAGACTTACGACCAAGTTTCCCAAGTGTGCGAGATGCAAACGAGGACTTGCGTTCGGGTTTTCCAAGATCAGAGATCGAGTGCTTACTACTCTGACTATCCGCGGAAGCACGAAACTCAGCACTAAATTTGTTGTTGTTGCGCTCGGGATGGCTGAGGCTTAGACGACTGTCTGAGCTGAGTCGACTGTCATTGCTGGAAGCGTTCGAGAGTCGCTGGGCTTGGGATCGGCTCTCGATGTTAGATGAGCCTGAGGATCTCTGAGTCGGCGCGAAAGACACTTTGGGATCTTGAGTAGAGGTGAATGGGTTTTCTGGAACATCTCGAGAGGTGCGTCTTCCATCATGGTATTTGTAAGAACAGCCTGATGATGCTGATGTTTTGGAGCCATCCGAACGTCTTGCCGTACTGTCAGAGAATGGCTTCGCGACCTTACTTATTTCGCTACTGTCCACGTCTCCCTCATCAGTATCATCGTTACCGTTACCTTCAGCGATTGGAGCCATCGTTGCATTGATGTCTTGTCTTTTCCGGTCATTCATACTCATACTTCTTGACATGCCACTACGACTGCTGCTGGGCTTCTTCTCCGCTACAGAGTCGTTGGCACATGAAGTCTTATCATTAGCGAAAGTGTAAGCCCTCTTAGGAGATCGCGGGAGAGGCCTCTCGCGACTCTTTCGCGCACTTTCCGACTCGGTAGATGAATTCGATCTTCGGCTAGCGGACGGTCGTCGAGAGCGAGAACCATTTGTATTACACAGGTCTTCATCTTCTGTCTTGGTAACCCCTGCCAATGAGCGGGCTCTTTCTTCATTCTCCTGTCGTTTCTTTTCTTCAGACAGCTTCTGCTGTTCTGCCATGCGCTGGTTTTGCTCTTCTGCCTGTCTTC